CAGATTGGCGTGCGCACTGCACGCCAATCTGCTTTGGCGTGCAGTTTGGCGTGCTCGAAGGGGGGATGGCGTGCACTTATCATTCCCCCCATTCATGTGGTCTGAAAGTTTTGTTTTGAATTTCTTATGTCAGATGTTTCAATCAATCACTAGATGGAGTGAAGTTATTTGAGAATTGATTAGAGTAATCAAATATCATTGAATACTGTTGATGATCACATTTGAGGACCACTGTAACATTAATGAAGGCCAGTACCAGAAGTTGTGAGTTGGATGAATGAATTTCAATTCTGATATTTAAATCAAGATATCTGAGCCTTATATATGAATAGAAAAAGTGTAAGAATTGTGATAGGAGAGTGAGATAGAATGAACAAGGAAACAGTAAATAAATTTCATGACAGAAAGACAATTCAGGGAACAGGGAAATTCTGAGAGAAGAATTTTAATTTATAAATATATTTTTGAAAGTAATTGAATCATATATCTTTTTTTCTCATCATCTGTTCTACAACATCTTGAATCCATTTGCTTATGTCAATTCCATCATCTTCAATTTGTGTCATATATTCAATTGCCAAGTGAACTTCACCCTGCTTGTATTCACGAGGAGGTCTATGTGAAAAGTATTTTACCAAATAATCAATATATTTTATTTTCTTGTTGAGGACCAGATCCTTCATTCCTTCAGGCTTCAGCCAATATATTAATGGCTCATATTTACTTTTGATGAAATCAATAATGGAAAATATTCTGTAAATTTCAATTGACTCAACAAGTCCAGATGAGCCTTTTGGAGGGCTATCAAAGTAGGTAATAGCATCCTTAATGACTTTCCAAACATAGTGCAATTTTTGAGCTCCAATAGAATCTTGTTTCTCTTGATAGTTTTTTTGATTACTGCTCAAAATTGATGATAAGATATTCAAATTATCAAAAAAGTGTTCTGAACAAAAACCTTCCCCAATTTTCCTAAATCTTTCATTCAAATTTTTAAATCCCAGAACTGATTCAACAAAAACTTTACTTAATTGGTAAGTAGCAAGCTTTTGATCTTCAATGGAAAGTTTTTCTACAATATTTGAATCAAATTTAGCAAGTAAAATTTTATCTTGATAAAAAATTTAAAAAAAAATCTAAAAGGAAACATACCTTCAATGGCTCTTTGGATGGGCCTAAAGTTTCTATGAATTTGACAACTGATTTCATTGGGCTTCACTGAATAAAAATTACAATGATCATCTTGTATATGCTTTGTAGAGTCATACAACACTGTTGATGCATAATACTTGATCAATGGAATAAGATTTTCTGGCTTGTAAATTTTGATATTATCAATGTAGCTTTGTGGAATCAATTTCAACTTTGCAATATACTCTGCTGAAAGAAGCATTGCTTTCGCAAAGAAATACATCTCACTCTCAAAGTAATCTTTAAAGTGATCATCAATTTGAAATGTGACCAGCTTTGTTTCTAAACTATCCCAATACTCGGGAAATTCTTTTGACACCTTCTTTCTAACATCAAGAAGTAAGTCGCCATGTAATTCAATCTGTTCTTGTTTTGGTATGTCTTGTTTAATTAACAATTCATGCAAGTTGAAATCAGTCCCTGATGATAAATTATTCCCCTCCTGCACCAATGTATTTTTTGTAGAGCTTGCAATGTCCAGAGGAGGCTGTATATCTTCCATTTGTGTCTTTTCTTTACCTAATGGATCACTCTCTGTCTTTTTCCAAACCCAAAGACTTAACGGTTGACCTCCATACAGACCATATAACCTTACCTGAACCATCCTCTTCAAGAAATGTAGGAGATCCTTTAGTTTGTAAAACAATTCATAATGCTCAGGGTTGCACCAGCATTCAAAATCCTGAATTGCAGCTCTAATCTCCAGCCAGCCTTGTCTCAGCTCTGAAATCTCCACTGTAAAAAAGTAAAAAATGGTCAAGTTGATTAAGCATCATCATTTCAATTTATTGAACAAAACTTTGGGGCAAGCCACTCAAGATATTCACCTTGATTGCTTGTTATTATTGGCCGGAACCTCTTCAGTTTGTCTGACTTTTGCCAACCAAAATTGGAGGATCTTGACCAATCAATCCTTGCAGCATTATCATTGGGTTTGGAGTAATCAAATTTTCTGGAGTTCTGTGATTCTGGCAAGTCAAAGTAAGATTCTAGTAGCCCGTTTCCCACTGCCTTATCTGGTGTGCATTTTTTTAGACTTTCTAGTGCAGGTTTGCTGCCCCCCACGTTTATTAAAGCAAAAAAAATAAATAAGATGTTTAAGGGAACACTCATTTTGTGAAGGGGTTGGGAGATATTGTTTGGAGAAAGATTTCTGTTTGTTTATGACCACTGGACCACTTTGGTGAAGATGTTGACCATTTTCTGATCTGGGTGTGGTGTGGAAACATGTCTGGTACATATTTTCATCCGTCAGTGAGTTACATGTATAATATCCTCACACAATAACTATCAAACAATACAATTGTACTTGGACACTGTACATAAAAAAGAAACTTGGAGGACATGAGACAAGTAGAATTAAATTGTCAGACAAATTGTAAATTTTAGGGTATAAAGCTGTGCAAAAAAATCATGTTGACAGTTTGTATCATCCAATCTACAACACTTTGAAAGGTGACAAGATAATCTGTTGATTACTGATTGATATATACATTGTTGGAACTCCCTTCTGGTTTTTAAATCTACAGTGAGTTTTATTTTTTCTTGTGTAAGGGGAATTTTCTTCTCTCCCCTTGTTTTGTGGAGATGGCCATTTTGAGGTGTGATTGTAGAGCTCTCCAGTTCATGTTTACCTGGGCTGTTGAATTGATTTTATTTTTACTGTTGATTCAGGAAGAGTTACTAAAACTTGAACAAAAATGAATATTTCACACATGAGTCTAGTTGAGTCTGCCTGAATTCTGACCATATGAATGAATCCCAAATTTCTAATTAAGAATTGGGCCTTTCAATTGTTTTTTGCTCAGCTTTTTTGGTTTCTGGTAGCACTTGGTTCCTCAGAGTCCAAACTTGATTCTAGCATAGAAGGTGGGATCCATATTTCAGACCATCTTGATCAAACAAACTCAATAATTGATGGCTCAGAGTCAACTTCTAGCCATTTATCACATACTAGTACTGACATAGAGGCTGAGCTCTATGATTATAGAGTAGCTTATAATGATTATTTGAATGAACATCAAATCAATCCAATTCGAATCAGGCAATCTCAATCATTTTCTACTAGGATAAAAGACTGGTTCAAAAGATTGGCTTTTGCCACTGGGATAAAATATCTTAGAAAGAAAACTATAGCAGTTGGATATATGCCTGAGAAGTATGCTCCTGGATTATCACATAAAATGAAACCCGACCTCATCCTCTCAATTTCTCAAGCAAAGAAGATACTCAAAGATGATATTCAAGTTTTCAAAAAACCTCACTGTGTACATGGTGCTTCAAGTTCAAAGACTGATCCAGAGATTCTGACTTCCAAAGATTCAACACCTTCAAGCTCTAATGATGATGCAGAAATTTCAAATTCAGAGCAGCTACCTCTTCAAAAAATTTCAAAAGTTAAACTTTTGGCTGAGAGTCAGAGTCAATGTGCAATTTGTCAAACAGAATTTCAATCTCCCAAATTAAAAACAAATTCTCAATATCAGGATGGACTCCTGAGATTCAAACATAATATCAAGCCAGATATTCAATTTGAAGCTATCAGTTGTGTCAAAAAATGTGGACACTGTTTCCATCCAACATGCATCAAATCATGGTTTGATCTGCAGAAAAGGGAGAAAAAACCCCTTAATTGCCCTCTTTGTCGGGAATGAAAATATTTAGAAATGCTGTTGCCATCACTCTTAAAGGCTCCTTATATACAAACTTAAACCTTAAAATATCTCTTTTTGTATGTTCAAGTGACCCTTTTTGAATTTTCTGTTTTATCTATTTATCCCATTCTATGGAATGTTTTTCTGGACTTGAATTACTGTTCCAGTACTTGAAGTACTCTTGATTTTCCTCCAATATCTCTAGCAAATCCTGCCTGGAATTTTGAATGATACTTCTTCTCTCTCATGAAATTTTTACTTCTCCTGATTTGTATAAACAAGCTTCCCTTCATTATCCTGGATCAGATATTTCTCATTCAGAGTAAATGTTTTGATACCTGATCCCTTTCCAGTACTAAACAACTGATGCTGTCATCCCCCCCCCTCCCTATATGATCAATTATACATGCACATTGGATGACTTCCCGTCGGCATTTACGACCCTCGCAGAATTGGATTTACACCATCAAGGTCTTAATTTTTGGCAAAAAAAAATCTTTCTTCAGAAGCCTTGTAGTAAAGGCCCTCATGTGAGCTAGTTGAGGTTGTGATTAGAGTGTTAATTTAGAACTGAGAGAGCTCTAAAAAACACTCTAAACCGCGACGGGAAGTCCTCCATTAGATTTGGGAAACACTTTTCTACTGCAGCCCAGGCCATTGTCCAATTATAAATAGAATTCAGCCCCAGTTTTTCTTTCACAAAAGATTAAGATTGTACAAGAGAATTGTGAACTTCTTGCTGCTTAGATAGTTTCATAAGAAAAAGCAAATGAGCATCTTCTAGTGTTTTAGCACTAATCTATGAAAGTCACCTCATACTTGGATAGAAAGCTTCCATTCAGAATTTTGAACAGTGTCATAGACCATTGATCTTCATCAAAAGACCTTTATGAGACCTTCCAGATTCAGATTTAGATCACTGCCCTGGAATCCACTGTTGACAGGAAATCTGATTGAGGAGGCCAATAATGATAGCAAAATCTGAATGGTCCATGAAGTATAGGATTCAGCCTCTTAAACGACATCAGCATGTCTGTCTGTTAACGGATTGCGCACCTGCCAACTTCTTTCACTGATCATTTTGAAAAAATGAACAGTTTTTTGAGTGTGCTGGCCGTTTGAGTTCTTTTGAGTTTGAGCTGCTTACATAATATGAGGGTTAGGGTTTCATCATCCGATTTCACGCGCACACAGCTGTTCCGCTCAAGAAGCTCGCTGACTAAGCCTGCCAGCTGTTGACCAATCAGATCGAACGCCGAACTCAGCCGAACCGAACCAACCACACCCAAGAACACCTCCGTCATCTTCTTCCACAAAACAGGCTCTCCTCGAAAAAACTCACAAACGATCAAAGAAAGCTTCACAAGGAAAAACAACCTCGACCGCTGAACCCACGCCGATCAAGATGTTCTTCCCTGCCCAACTACTGATCCGTCGATCGCTCATCAATCCCGTCCCTCGTCTCAATCTCAAGTCGACCGGCTCATCTCAGAAGATCATCAGACAGTCAAGCTTGATTACCATCCAACGAGGTATACCAAACCCCCTTATCCACTACTCCAAAACTTAAAATAAAGTAATCATTAACAATGGTTATCGTTGGTTTGGTTTTTGTACTTGTGGAACAGCTTACTCTGCTGGTCATGCAGCCGATGAATCATTCTCTGCCTTCAACGAACGATACACTCAATTCTTTGAAGGTGTACAAGACTTATTCGAGGTCCGTGTCAAGAACCACTATTCATCTCCTCAAACGACAACAACAATAACAATGATCTATCTCTTTGTTTTTTATCTATTCAATCTCGTCGAACCCCCGGAATTCCTATCTCGATTCATCCTTGCCCATTGAACCAAAAAATATCAATTTGATCCGATAGCTCCAACGTGGCCTCAACAACTGTTTTGCCTATGACTTAGTACCTGCCGTTCCAACCGTCGAAGCAGCACTCCGAGTTAGCACGATTTCCCACATTTTTTTTATGGTAGTCTACCTTTGAGGGATGGATTAATGCTTATCATCGACCCTATTGATGTTTATTAGGCCGCCAGACGAGTCAATGATTTGCCTACAGCGATTCGGATATTCGAAGGCCTCAAAGAAAAAGTGTGCCCTCCTTTCTGTTTTTCTTTATCGATCATTCGAACAAGTTGACCCCATCAGATGAAAATTTGATAACTGATGTCATTTGATGTTTTGTTGTTGTTGGCTTACTCGTCCGATCTTCATCTTGACATAGGTTGAAAACAAGGGACAATATCAAGCTTATCTAGACGAGCTAAAGCCACTCCGAGACGAGCTTGGTGTGCCGACCAAAGAAGAGATGTATGGCCAAGCAATTTAATTGCTATTTTTAAAGAGCTCAACCGAATTAAAAAAAAAGTCCAAATTCGAACTTGTTCCTGAGATACATGCGTGCGATATGAGCATCGACGCATCTTCAGACTTGTACATGTGTTTTTGTCTTCATGCCTTCCCCCATTTAATTTCTCTCATCGCCCCCTCTCTCAACTTCTTCTTTTCATGCCATCCCGAGTGTCGAGCAATCCTCACTTCTTTTTTTTGTTCAAGATTATTAACCTCGATACATACCATGTTGGGTCAGGGGAGAGTACTAAGACCTCCTCAATTGGTTGGTCTACACATGATCTCTTGAATGATCAGCTATCTCCGATCACCTTTTTTGATGTTGTTGGACGAGATATGTGTTCCCAATGAAGTTATCCACCAAGGGGTCCCGATCCCGCATCCATGTAGCACAAGATACTTACTTTCCATGGAGCTCTCAGAAGCTTTCAAATCGAGCCGACGTATGTAAAGCTTATTTCCAGACGGGTGACCATCTGGTAATAGAAACCAAACCAAGGTGACTCTTGACCTGCTAGTGCAGCAGCAGAGGATCTCACTGACACTGACCCAACCCAAGAGCCCATCCTCCGAGGTGGTCGCAACTTATCTCTAACATGACAAATCTTGCCGGAGGCTGACCAGCTACATATTTGGCTGAAGAACCCCTTGGACTCATGCGTATTGACAACCTTGATATTATGAGGCAAAGCCTTCATACCCCCCTCCAATGGAAATTAATGATGAAGCATGATGTTTGATGATACATGGAGATGTGCTTATCCAAACTGCCTCAAAAACTTTGGACCACTCTGAGAAGTTCATATTGTCTTGCACTCAGCCAAACAGCCAGAGTTGGAAACCATTCCAAGCATGTTTAATCTGCCAGCATGCAAAGAGGACATCCACAATTTCTGTTTGTTTGGATGATCCAGATTGCTCAAGTTGAGAAACAAAAAATTCATTGCAGTACTTGTATTTGATTTGCTGCATAAAATTCCTTGATTTCCCCTGGTAATGTTGTTGACCTCCAAAAATCAAGAATATTGAGATTATAGAAGAATCTTATTGTAACTCTGTCAAAAGACTTGGTAAATTGATTGAAACATTTATTCAACAGGATGGCTTTAAGCCCAATGAGTTTTATGATCTAATTTGGAAGTACTTCAACTCACTTTAGCCTTTGAGCTTGAAAGTAAACAAGCACCCCAGAAAATCATTTGTACAGAATCAAGCCAATTCCAGCTTGGATCTGGAGCACACACTATGGAAAATCTCTCTATCCTCCACCCTCTTTTTTTGCAACCCAACTTCAACATAAGACTTAGGGACTGGACTTGCATGATTTCCCTTGATATCCCACCAGAGCTATCCCAATTAAAAACCCCACACTTATTCTTAAAATAAAGATTGGAAAATCACATCAGTGTTGAAGTCATGTTATTTCTCTACTCATTGCCATATCAACATCTTACATTCTGCTTCTAAATCATGGCTTTTGATTCTGTTGGGCTACATCAAAAGTACCAGCTTTCAAATATTGAGCCCCACCAAGAGCAATGGTACACCTGGATTTTGTCAGCTTCTGGTTGTATCTTTCATTTATGGCTGTCTTCTTTGTGAAATCTAGGAAAGGTTGGTTAGATTGATAGCATTTGATTTTTCATTTCTTTCTACTCAAATTGATTACTAACAAGAGTATTCAGTGGTTCCAATATTTTGATAACAGGTGGTGCTTGAAAAGGTAGAAGCAAAGGATAAATTTTGTGGATTCTTGACCTTCCAAATCCAACATCAGCTAAAAGAAATATATGTAGTCTTTCCTTGTTCAAGGTTTGCTACTGATCATGCTCTTTGGTCTCTTGACCTTGGTAGAAATTTAGGCTCCGCTTGGCAGTCCGTTATATCATAAGTAAAAATATGTAAATCCGGATAATCAGAATATGGTTGATAAACCTTAAACCAATTATCACAGAGCTAGACAATCTGCTGCTTATTAGAGTGGATTTTTGGTGTTATGGCGTGACCAGCCAAACACTATTTTCACTTATGATAATAAATGTGGTCCCCCGAAACAATTTGCAGGATTTTCCTATGATATTTTATGATATCATGGACTGCCAAACGGAGCCTTAGCAAATGTGTGATGGGTTAAGGAAAAGGGTAGAAGGAGGTTGCTGACCTTTATTCTGATATGGTTCTGATACCTTCTTCCTTTTGGTGGTAGTAGTTCATGTTAAGACTTTTGCTCACTCAATTACAAGGAAATTAAGCTCTCACAAGTTGATAATCAATTAATAAAAAAAAACTCAAGATGGCTGCTATGTTAGGCTACAAGTTCATGTGCTATGTATTTTGATTTCTAATAGGCAGTTTAGACCAGTTTTTCCAAAAACAACAAAAGCATTGATGATTATTTCCTCATCTGAAAATTGTCAGCCCCAGCTGCTGCGCATGTCACTTTGGACACAATAAGCCCCCCTCTCCTTCGGACGGGGGGCTCCTTCGGGATCTTCCGATCGACAGGTTGCCAGCCGTCACGCCGGCTCCCATTCCGAAGGCCAGAGATACAACAAGCAAGACCAAACAATAATCGACACTCCGTCTCAAAACAAGCGCACAACGATGACTACCCAAGATAACCTATCCAGTGCACCCTCGGAAGGACTGATGCCCAAGACTGCTGGTACAGACTCGATGCTCGATTCAATCCTCTCTCAAAAGTGCCACCCCCTTCTTCTGCTTTCTCCTCTGCCTTTCTCGCTCCTTACACTCAAATATTCAGTTTATTCAAAAAATTTAATCCCAATGATTCCCGTGTCATAATGCTTTACGAATTTGTACTTCTGGGAACCTGATCATCGGCCTTTTCCTCCTTCAAACAAAAATAAAATGCTTTTATTATCTCTAGTCCATACTTTTCAGCAGGTTTTGGCTTGATGGTCAGTCTTTGTGAAACGAACACTACTAAAAAAAAAATTGAATTCCACAAGCTAATGATTTTTGCGGTATGTTTTTCTCAAATGATGATACTGTTAAACAGGGAGTGGGTGTAGCATTATCGGGACTGAAACGATCAACGACCCTATTATTCAACCTAGCACAAAGGAGACTACTAGTGACCCTCGAAATCTCATCCAAAGATCGTTCATACCTATGGTTCCTGAATTGGATGTCCAAACAAAGTCGGAAGAACTCGTCTACCAATCAACTGGCAGCTGAGACGAGTTATCGACAACTTTCTGATGGGACTCACCAGGTCGACTTTGCGCTCGTACCTGGTCCTGGAAATCATTTCTTCAAATTCCAAAGGGCTTGGTTTCAAGTTAGTCTCTTCTCCCTCTTGTCCGTTTTTTTTTTTTTTTTTTTCTTTGATCATTATATAAAACGCCCCTTTCTCTCAAAATCATAGTCAGTTTGAAATTAATCTCATCTCTCTGGTGAGATATAAAATGGGTTTCTAGGTAAAACGAGAACGAGATGGAAAGTTGATCGATCTGAACTCAGGCACACCATGGGAAACGTTAAAGCTGACGACATTATCCAGAGATCGAAAGTTATTGGTCGAGCTTTTGAAAGAAGCCAAATCGGTCTCGATGAAAACTGAAGAAGGCAAGATAGTGATCTATACCTCTTCTGGTGGTGCTGAATGGAGACCATTCGGTCAACCTAGGACAAAAAGACCTTTGAGTAGTGTCGTTTTGGATCAGGGTATCAAGGAGAACTTGGTCGCTGATATTAAGGAATTCATGGGTCGGGCGCGTTGGTATGGTGATCGGGGTAAGCGAGTTCATACATACTGCACTGTTGTTGTTTTTTATTCCGTAGCTGAACTATTGTGATCTAATGATGGTCAGGAATCCCATATCGACGAGGATATTTATTACACGGACCACCTGGTTCGGGGAAATCATCATTCATCTTCGCGCTTGCCGGTGAACTACAATACCATATCTGTGTTCTCAATCTATCTGAACGAGGATTAAGTGACGACAAACTCAATCATCTCTTAACCAATGTGCCCGAACGGAGTGTAATCCTTTTGGAGGATGTGGATGCTGCCTTCCTTGGTCGTGATGGAAGAGAACAGTGCTGAGCCTTTTCCAACTTTGTTACCCTCTATGCCCCTATCAAATGTGGCACGCTGATGCGATTTGGCTAATTATGTTATTGTATCAAAAAAAAATAGGATGAAGATCAACATAACCTTTTCAGGGCTACTAAATGCGATCGATGGTGTGACATCAACGACCTCCCAAAGATTAATATTCATGACGACGAACCATCTTCGGAAGCTAGACCCAGCCTTAATCCGCCCAGGACGGATCGATCTTTCACTCCAGATCGGCAATGCAACTCTTCACCAGACACTCGAGTTATTCCGAAAGTTTTACGAAGAGTCTGAGTTGGTAGAAGAGATGGAGAAGAAGGTGGTCCAGGTTTTTAGGAACGGTGGCTCGTTTAGCATGGCCGCTTTGCAGGGTCTCTTTATTCGTTATCGGGACGGCCATGAAGCTATTAAAGAGCTTGATCAGATTGTCGAATATCCACAAGTGCTTGCTTAGTCTTACACAAAGATATCATGTCAATAAATACTTTTTTTCTATTCACTGTTCCTTTCTTTATGATTTGATTCTTGTGCGGGAATTATTTCGATTGGATAGGGGGCGCATACTCGATAGTTCTGAATACAAGTTGGACAGCATAAGAAAAGAGAAGGAAAGCCCAGATATGCGTACTGCAACTTGAGAAGTTGAAAGATCAGCCAAAGATCAACTCCCACTGTGCCCCCCCCCAGCATTATTTATGCCATGGCTGGGGTCAGATGAGATTCTCCACTTGTTGGACTAGATCATTTGCTCAATTTGTTCCTTCAGTTTTGTTCTTCATATATTTGCAAGAGATCTTCATTACCTTCAACTTCAGTTTGTTTCTGTTAGGACTTCATTGGAATTTGAACTGATATCAACTCCAGGTAAGCTGATCTGAGATCCAACAATTCCAAAATTTTTAATGCTAGAGACCTTGATTTGATCCTCATTGCTATCTGGAATAGCCATAACTTTTGCTTTTGGGGTTTACATTCACTTTGGTGGATTTTGAAGCCTCCTCATTCAAGCATGTGTTTTTCTGTCATTGTCATGAAAAATAGGTATGGGTATACCAGTGTTGGATTTTCTAGAAATTGTTGGTTTTGGTTTCTGTTCAGTGGATTATGGTGCCTCTTGGAATAACTTAGCTTGACTGTTGATGTGATTTTCTTGGTGGAATTGTGAAGCCTTACGTCTGGCCAGTGGCCACCATGATGCTATTTGTTGAACCAATCAAGAATCAGCCTCTCCTACTTATGGAGCTGATGAAATTTAGAACAACTTATGCATACCTCTCAACAGTGCATACAAATCACTTGCCTTGTTGCACCTTGAGAAGGCAAGTGATTTGTATGCCACGGCTTCAAGTTGGTTTGAATCCAAACTGACATCGATCGGCTCAAGTGAGGTCAAGTGGCGCGGGTGCGAGGGGGTCCTGAGTGCTCAGTGCTCACGCGGTGTAGCAGCTTCAAGCCAGCTCAAGTGCCAAGAAGAAAATCCCTCCGATTTTACACCAAGACCTTCACAATTCATGGTCCCTCATGATCGATCCCTCATTCTACAACCCTGACCAAGTGCATATGTACCACTTCAATCAGACCCGGCTTTGCTAGCAAATATCTGGCCAATAATGAAATACCGGCTTCGCTAGTGAATATCTAGCCAATAGTGAAATAAGAAAGGTCCATCGTCATCCTCAACTGGGTGGTCAACTCTAGGAAACAGGCGGTCGATGACAGAGATAATCTCCTGTAAAAACACCTCTGTTTCAACTCAAAGCGGTTGAGATATCTTGAAAATTTCGGGGAATCAATTAGCCAGAAGGTAACCTTAACCTCTTAGTCGAGATGTGTGTAGTGAGCACTTTCACAACGACAGGCCTTGAGATTTCCATCCAGGCAAAGCAAATTCTCGCCGTCAGTAAAACACTCATGGTTTGAGCTCGGTCTCTCCACCTTGAATCGTGTCTGTGGCGTTTCCAGTCAATAGAAGCAATTAAGTTGTTTGGATTCCCTTTGGCTCAGGCACAAAGTAGTATGAGATCGGCTTGGAACAATGTTCCAGCTGAACCAACATGAGTTAGGGAAATGCAAGGATATAAGCTTACCATTCAACCCCTGCCCCTTCTATTGTATACCAGATGTCTAGAAAATGCTTGGTCGGGCTGTCAGATAAACAAATCATCGGGGTTTTTGCACACATGCGGGGAAATCATGTCAATTTTGAGGACCATGGAGGCGGCTTCTGAAACTTGGCCAAGCTGTAGAATTCTTTAATAGACAAAATCTACTGTCCAATCGTATATAATGTTTGAATTTTTAGGATTGCAATACGTGATTTATGGCAGCCACTTCTTTCCTCAAAAGATCAAATTCGTTCAGGTCAGTGCCGGATTCAAGTTGTGAAATGTTAGAATATCGCCTACTTACTCGCTCCTAAGAAATATTACACTTGATCAGGATCTTCAGTTGTCGCAGATGTAGGCCGGCTAATAAGAAACAGACTCAGTAATATATTATCATATCTCTTGTGAATGCAGGCCAGCCAGTGATGATAAAACACGATACCATATTCGTTGACAATGTAGGGCAGTCTGTAGGAATCAGGCCAACAAGACACTTCTCATAATTGTGTGCAGTCGATAAGAACAAGAGTCGAAAGGATTTCTCTCGTAAATGGAGGCTGGCCGGTATTTATCAGGCTCAACAAGAAATTTCTTGTCAATGCAGACCCGCCGGTAATGATAAGGCGCAATAATATATCTCTGAGAAATGGATTCCCGTCACTCATAAGAATCAGACACAATAGAATATTGCTGGCGAATGTAGGCCGGCCATTAAGAATAGAACTAAGCTATGTGTTGCTTATGAATGCTAAGCCGGCCAGTAAGAGCCAATAGGATGTCTCTCGTAATTTCTAGTCTGTTTTACGTTTCAACTTGATGCCCAAGCTTTGGTTGAGCAGCGAGTTTGGCTTTATCCAATGAACAAACCGCTGAGGGCCAAACTGTCAAAGACTCAATAATTTGACAAAGGCATCAAAGATTGTACGTGGAAAGAATTTTGATCGGGCATTCATCGACCAAACTTGCAGAGGTCAATTTCTATGTTAATGTATGTTCCTTAGCCAGAATCAAATGGCTCACGTGTGTAAGAGAAGGCAAGTGGCAGTGAACAGCCATGATTCACTAAGGCGGCGAGATTGGTACAATGATGGACACTCAGCAGAAAATTCAACCGCCAACTGCTGGTGTACAAGCAGTTGTAGGTTTCTTGTAACAAAAATCCCTTCTCCCTTTATTGAACAAAGGGTGGATTAAGTTTGGCTCAGGAAAAATTTGCACAACAAACAATCAGCGTGTCGCGACTCATGACGCGACCACATAGGATCGTGCTGAGCCTTTCTGGTCAATCGCTGTCGCCACACACTGCGTGTGTGCTCCTTTGTTGTGGTGCAGCAGTCGCGACTCGCGACTTCCAACCTCCAATATTTAAGGACTGTCCTTTCAGCTCTGCTCCCACTTTCTCTTTCTCCCCATCTCTCCATGAAACCTTCCTCGCCACCAACATCCAAATCAAATGTAAGTAACTGCATGACGATCTGCTCCTCCTCCCCCCCCTCATAAAAGAACCATCACTACCACCACTACTGTCTTTTCCTTTCTCCGCTGGAAAAAGACTGAAGACTCTCCCATTACTCTTTCCTCTTACTTCTTCTTTCCAGAGCCCTAACTTCGGTTCACCATCGCGCCGAGTGCCCAATGGGCCTCAACCAAAAGTAAGTCGAAGTCTGTCTTCGATCATCTTGCCTCCAAATCCCAATCGAAGACATCGAATCGACGATTTCTTAGCTATCTGAGTCTTTGACTTTTATGACTATCAGCCGAGCCGAGGCCATGGGGCCAGCCCTCCCGAATAGCGCTCCGGCAGCGGTAAGCTCCTTTCCTCGGAGCCCACCACCGTCAAGCTTTCCGGCCGCCCGCCCTCACTTGCATCTCCCAAGCCGCCTTCGGCCAACTGGACAAGTGACTCGCAGCAATGCCCTTCGTCGGGCAACCGGCCCCGCGCTAGACCTCAAGGACATCCCGATCAATGGTGACTTGGTCAACAAGGCCCTTGGCCTTACCCCCACCTCCCCTCCCCCTCCAACCCCTCTCACCCAAATCCCTCCCATGCCGACCTCCTCACTAAACTCCTCCACTCTTCCTCTTCCTCCTCTTCCTCCTATCGCCCGCCCTCCTCGCCGTGGACCGGTTGCGCCTGCTCCTCGCCGCCGCAACGCAATGATCATCTTGGTCCCGCAAGACCTTCCTCAAGAGCTTCGGGACATCCAACTTGATGCATCCATGACTCAAGATGATCACTCAACTTGAATGCTTTCATACTTTCGACTTTCTGGTATGTCCTCTCTACACTTTTTTTCGACATACATCCTTCATATCAATGTCCTGATTCCCACTCCTTCTTTCTTTTCCACAAAAAGCTTAGCCTCATTTCTATCTTCTTCATTTTTATCCAACTTCTTTCGCTTTTCATGTAAATTAGCCTCGACACATTTGGGCCTAGTTTGAAAGGCCCTCATTGGATCTTATCTATGTAGGAAAGGAACATGACAACTTCTTTCTATTTTCATGTAAATTAGACCACACACCTTCTAAGCCTAGTTTCAAAGGCGCTAAAATTATCTTATCGATTAATGTAGGAAAGAACACTGTCATCTTGGAAATTCTTCTTGTATTCTTAGCCTCTCCAATGCAACATTTCTGTCACTCTTTCAGATTGTTTTTCAAAACTCAAACAGATCTTCTTCAACATCTGATACAGTCGACTAAAATCCCAATGAAATCTTTGAGAGGTGGACTTCTTTGATTGAAAATACCCATAATTTCCTTGTGCACAATATGACACACCCAACATTCTTTACTGATGTGTTATTGGAGTTTCCACGAGTGAGAATCGGAGACACAGACCAAAATGGGTTCAAGCAATGCAGAAAATTGTTTTGGTCAGTCGCCTGTTTTCAGAACCCATTTTCTCAACCTCATGATACGAGAAAGTCAGCTATCAGGAATTATTGTTGATTTGGATAGCCAATCCGACGGTTCTTTACGAGAAACATCATCAATATTACACACTCATGACATGGGGAAGCAATAAATTTCATGAGAAAATTATTTCAAAAGACAGTTTTCAAAGATTGGTCTATAAATCTGTGATGATCCATCACATTTCTTCTCTCGTTGCCAGAGAGACTGAATGTATTTTTTTCTTTTCTAAGTTAACTAATGGACAAAATCGAAGCAGTGTCTCAGCCAGTCGACTGCGGCGAGATTATGCTTACATCAGCAGTCAAAGTTGACTATGTAGAAGCCTTCGATCGCAGAACTTGGACCAGTTGACCACCACCCACACGGCACCCACCCTCAAGGACCCGATGACACTGGCCTCACTAGGAAGAAGAAGCTGGACGATCGGGGGAAGGATCACTACTGGACGATGGATGTCCACATCCGAAGCACACCAGCCAACGACGAGGACTTATAACTTGAACCAGAAGACCGGAGTAGAACAGGCGATCGTCTCAAGAACGACGAGGAACGAACGGACCGGGAAACAGGAGACTCTGAAGACTGGCAGTCGACGATCCTCCAAGAACAACTCAATCGCCACAAACAATAACAATAAGCCCGCGAGAACTTATCCGATCAGGAAGCAATTCATCTTCGAATCTTATATCGACCTCTTCACTTCCAATCAGCTCTGTTTACTCTTCAGACACCAAGGTCTGACTTCCCGAGAATGGAACTCGATCCGAGGCAAGATCAAAAACTTATCATCAACATCATCATCGAGCAAGGAGACGACTGGGATCCCGTTTGGAGAGTACAAGTTCGATCCTCAAGAGCTGAAGAATGAATCCTTACCACGACTCCAAGTCTTGCGAACCAAGATGATCGTGCCGGTCTTGAAGAGTTTGCTCAAACAATCGATGATCCGGAGGGAGACCTACGACTCGATAATCTATTCGGCCGGATCCCCGCACCCGAAGGGCTCCTCCGATCCGGCGGGATCCCAGAGTGGGTCGCCAAACAAGGATGAGAAGAAGAGACAGAAGAAGGAGAAGAAGAACTTGAACGGCTCGCTCTTCTCGCTCAGCCAAGCCGATTTCAACCCCACTCAACTCAAACAAGTCCTCCAGATCATCGCCGCCCATGCACCCGATCCGATCCAATCGGCCACCAAGAAATCATCCCAGAGCGACCCCACTCAACAGGGAACCGAAAAAATCAAGTTCTTGATCGGCTTCGTCGACGCTTCGATCTGCAAAGATACCGCCGACTTGAATCGATTCTCTAGCCTCAACTCTCTCGACACTTCTCGCTCTCAAATCATCTCCATCATCAGTCGCTTCGGCTCTGATTTACTCTCCACTCTTAATCAGGCTAGAGCTTCTCAGTTGGTTCATACCCTCAAAGGCTTCCATAAAACTCTCGAAGATCAAGCTCGTCTAGATCAATCCCCTACGCCAAGCCAACCCTCGTCTGCTGAAAAACCTACTCCTACAGAATAACAATTGTAGTTGATCATCCTATAATTAGTAGAAAAAAAATGCATTCCAAATTCACTTCGGTTTTTTTTCTTCGGTTGTGCGTCATATGTGCGTTTCTTTTGGCACTCTTCCTCAATTGCGATTCACAAAGAGAGAGAGGCACATGAGGTATTATTGCCTGACCTTGTTGGGTGAACAAGAGAAACATACCATACTCCTGGGTGTAAGTATTCATGATGATCATAATTGAAAGAAAGATCCCAAAATTGGAGGAGACTTCAAAAGAAGAAGAAAATACTAAGCATGTTAACAGATTTGATTTTGGGGAGAGAAGCAAGAAGGGAGACAACATGGGTTCCTAAGGAGATTCAAATGCATCACCTCCTCAACCAACCCTCGAGAACTTAGAGGAGAGAAAATAAAAAATGAGAAGAAGAAAGAAACGCTTTTGGAGATGGGTTCTTGTCCTAGCCAGGTATTTTTCAGCTAGACTTCTTTTTTTGATGTGAGGTGAGAGATGAATGAACTAGTTAAGCTTTCAGTGCAGCTTTCAGGGTCTGGACAGAAAGTGGAAAAGCCAATAAAGAATTAATGAGTCAGTCAGTAAACAAAGAAAAACTCGTAGTAGTTAATTGGAGTATGATATAAGGGAGGACAACTGACTTTCTCCATATCATCGAAATCTTTGGTATCTACTTTAACTAGTTGCTCATCTGAGATTTGTAATTCATCCTTAATCTTCATCATATCTTGATAACTTCTTGGATCGTGAATAAAATTCTGTTCATTTATGACCCCATCAGAATAAAACACAGGAGACAAAAGGATGAGAACCGTCATTTTTCTCGACCAAAGAGAAAGAGAAGCAGAGGGTGTTGTAGGACTGACTATCGAAATTCCCTTGCGCCCGAATCTCCCAGTTCTTCCAATTCGGTGTAAGTATGTTTCAGCATCTGCGCCTTTATGAGGATCTTTAGGCAAATCATAATTGACCACCAAGTTCTAAAAAGACATATGGAGTTAAGAAAAAAAAAGCAGGATAGCATAAAGAAAAAAGTGTAAGAGTAGATAAATAGAGAGCATACGACTTGAGAGATATCGATTCCTCTGGCGACCACATTAGTAGTCACCAACACTTTACTCCGACCTTCACGGAAATCATCGATCGTCTGGTCCCGTCCTTCGCCCATCTGTGCCCCATGCAGCACGGCCACCTTGTGTCCATCCTTGTTCATTCGATGCGCAATCTCGTCCGCCGTCCGTCTCTCCTGGGCGAAGATGATCGACTGGCCGACTGTTAATAAGTGGTATAGCTCCACAAGCACTTCGTACTTATGTTCTGCATCGTTGCAATCTGTTTGAGATCATGGGGAGGCAAACCAGCCGATTTAGTCTCAAATCTATCGTAATCTTCAACATCCCCAACCTTATTTTTTTTTTTAAAAAAAAATGAGATGAATCTTTCGCTGACCCATGTAGAATTGTTTGATGCCTTCTAGCGTCAATTCATCTTTCTTTAGCTTGATCTCATTAGCGTTCGGGGCGAATTTAGAGGCATATTTCCGAACGTGTTCGGGGAAAGTAGCCGAGAATAAGACGATCTGCACGGTGTTGTTACTACGAGTGATCGCACTGATGGAATGATTGAATATTCAAATAAATAAATAAATCAGTGGATACGTCGATAGAATGAATTGTTGGTGTTGAGCTTACTTTTTTACTCCAATCGTTTGTTCTCCTAATGATCCTGTTCCTACCAATACATCTGCCTCATCTGCTACTAAAACTTTGATCCCACTAGGATCGATCACCGACTCTCGAGTTCCAGAAATTCGATGAGAAGTTAAAGCCTACCAAAAAAAGAAACCCCTATTTTTTAACCACAGATTTTTTTCTTTTGTAGAAAAAAGAAAGAACAAACATCTTTAATTGTACCAGGAGTTCCAACGATGATATGTTCAGTGATCTTTTCGCCGCGTTCAAGGGTATCTTTACTCGCCAACCGCTTAGTCAATCCGGTAACATACTGTCCCATCTGTTCGGCGACATCCATGATCTGACGGGCCAATTCTCGGGAAGGACAGACACAGATCGCTTGGGGACAGCTCTGAGAGACATCGACTCTCGAAAGCATCGTGAGTACGAAGGCCGCCGTTTTTCCCGTGCCGGATTGCGATTGGCCAATCATATTCCTCGGACTATTCAAAGCAAAAAGCCTCTAGAGTCAGTGGCACAAAATCGTGAATGATTTTCTTGATGGTCTAGAGGGTATACGACCACTGACGGGTTTTGGAGTAATAGTGGTAAGGCGCGTTCCTGGATCTTCGAAGGTCTTTGAAAGCCCATTCGATAAAGACCTTTCAAAAGGGCTGGATCACTATAAGACCCAATCGAACAAAAACCCAGAATGATTAGTGGTCAGTTTGAAGATAGAAGAGTGCGGGGATCGATCGATTAATTGGAAGAAGATGAAAGACAAAGTGTTTCTGACAGCTTGAGATCCTCGAATGATTTGGCAGAGTAGAGGGGTGAGTTGGGGTCGGCTTGTTGGTCTGCTAGTTTAATCTGAACGAACGATTTCAAGATGCCGCAAATTAGTAGATTGAATCGTGCTATGTAGTGTTTGGTACTTTTTCTGAATAATTGTAGGCGATCATGAGTCGCTTCTGATCGAATTGGCTTACCTCGACTTGATGTGAGAGGTTCTCGAGTAACTCGGAGGCTAGATTAAAAACAATCATCCAGTCAAGAATCAATTACTTTCTCTATTCCTGAGACCCGAAAGAGTAAGTATTGCAAACCTTTTGATTTAGTTTTAGCTTCATTAGCTTCGATGGTAGAAGCGGCATCAGGTTCGACTGAATATTTGGGAAAAAATAAGCCAAACAGATCCTAGATCGGCATCGAGACGAGGTTTTTTTTTGTGTGTTCTGAGAAGGAAGAACGAACCGATTTCAGTTTTTGGGGGGTCGATGGGGGTAGGTTTGAGCCCAAGAGATTCGACAGTCGCGATGTTTTCCTTAGTTGCTTGCGGGTCGAGTGCGGATAACCTGGAGACGAGGCCGTCGAGTTCGTCTGCTATTGGCGTTGGAGATTGCAGTTCAGTGTCTGTTTTCTATATGATATCGATCAGAGTGGGTTTTGGTCGACTTACTTGAGTCTGGCATCCTTCGATGGTGTTGATATGGTGGAGGTTCTTGGTAGTTGACCGTTGGAATATAGGGTGGTGGTGGTGATCGAACAGCCCAGGCCAGGCCCCAGCCGCATCAAGCCACCTGAACGCAACTCAAACTCACCACTCATCATCATCATCATCATCATCTTGCTTCCATAAAGAACAACACTCACAATCACCCTTGACTGTTTACTTCACTGCATAATCCCACAAGTATCAGGATCACTACTGCACACTATCATGACATCAGATTGAACTCAGGGATTTTTTTTCCCTGTTGACTGGGACCATCAGAAGTGGTGAGCTAATTTTATCTAAACATACTGTTGTTGTGGGTTTTGGCAGAAAAAAAAAACAACAACAAACATGAACTGCTCAAATTTATACACTGATACCTGGAAAAGCCTGCTTCTGGTTTTTCATGTGCTGATTTTATATGAGTCACCCTTTCTGTTAAAAAAAACTTAAAATGTACTCAATTATAAGCTAGAATAATTAAGAGATCATTGAGTTAGAATCAATCAATCAATCAGGAAACAAAAATGATCATAATAATCAAAATGAAAACAGAGAACAATTCCAACCATCAATCTATAAGAACATTCCTTCTGTCTTTTTTGGCTTTTTTAGTAGATACCTGCAGACCATGAAAAAAAAATGTACAAATAAAAAATCATGTCAAAGGAGATCAAATAAGAATTATGATGTTCTTATAAAAGTTCTATTTAAATAAACATTGTGCCAGTTTTGATATTTTTCTTATATCTGTGAAGCTGCTCTGACAGTCCAGAATTCAATAGAGCCAGCACTGATCCAGCAGCTCCACCTCATGTATGGACCTAGATACAACTAGAAAGGTAATATCACTGTTGGTAGAGACTAGAGTATGTTGATCAAGGGGTTGACCTAGTTAACCTCAACAATACCATGGCCCAATATTTGGTTCATGATAGTTGAACAAAATTTTTTTGCTAGTTTCTAGCAATTGTCCATCATCTTTTACTTCAAGAAAGAGGCATAGTTTTGAAAATCTCAGTAAAAAAGTAAAAAGAAAGATTGAAATTAAAATTAACAGGGGAAACAAAAAATTGGTCCAAATTCAGAGCAAAAGGGGTTTTGTAATTAATTGGCTTTACTGAGGATTAGAATCCCTATGTGAAGTGGCCAAGATATTACTTTTCAGAGTTTTGTGTGTGTATATTCTCTATCATCTGGACACAGGTCTGAAGCCAGGAAATGATGGAAAATCATTTTTTTTTTGGATAGAATCCAAAGGCCCTTCTGTCCAAAAACAGCCTTGGAGTGCAACCAGTTATCACAAACAGTACTGTTTTTTTTGTTTTGATTCCAACAACCCTGACATCTTATCTGCAACCTTCAGCTTGGGCTGGCTCTCAGGGGGTTTCATTCAAATAGAATCTCTGCCACAAAGAGAATTTCTGTCTGGCAGTGGAGCCATGGAAGGCCAACCTCCAAATGAGAACTCTTGTGATGTACATTACTCTTACAGTTTTGAGTATGCAATAGTGGGACTCACTGTTAACATTTGTTGGCATGGTCCATTTTCTGGTTGTAATAACATGTTACCCTCTCCCTGCTCATTGCTTTAATCATTACCTTTGCATGATACTTAAATGGTCTCTTCAGCTTCACATTTTGAAGAGGCAAATTAAGTGCCAATCAGGTTTGTTTGATTCTAATATTGGTTGTTTCAGTATTGGTTATAAAAGCACCATAATTATGTTCCCTTTTCTGGCCCAGGGAGGCTTTGCCTGTTGAAATTTTTGTTGACATGTGCCCTGAAGAGGGGATTAAGTCAATTTTGTCAAGCTGAAGTGTTGGAACTGGTGCCAACAAATTTTTCTCATGACAACTGGTCTGATGAGGCTAGATAGACTATTAAAATGTTGTTTTCAAAAATGGGTTAATTTTCAATAAATTCAGTTGTCTCTTTCCTGAAAATCTAGACGGGTCATCAGGAACGAGATGGGTTCTGTCATTGTATCCAGCCAAGTTGGTTATCTGCGATGAGCTGTTGCAAAGCAGGCGCAGTCCAGCCTGCGGTCGCCCGAGCTATTTACGCATCGGGCGCGGGCGCGGGCAAACATCGTTAAGTCCCAGGGCAAGCCTCAAGAAGAGGCAGAGGGCAAACTTCCAAGACGAGGGCAAACCTCCAGGGCGAGGGCATCGCAGCTGGGTAGATTGCCAGGAGAATAAAATCCGATCCCTCCGTGAAGTTGGGGGGAACGATGTGTTGGTCATATCCAACTCCTTTCCTACATTGACTGCGAATCAAAAGAAAATTCTCTGGGTCATATCCACCATAACGAGATTCGAAGCAACTCACAGGGTCATATCCCAACAGTTGTTGCCTCTTGCAACAGATTCCTGGGTCGTGTCCACCCCCATTGATGAGATCCAAGAGCAATGGAAACTCACATCACAAGAGTGTTCCGTCCAAATCCCTCAGGTTTGTCATTAGCCGAGGCAATGGACTAGCCATCGCATATCCTCAATCAACTGGGTGACCCCAATGAGAGCCAAGCTCTACATCATACGCTTAAGGCACCCATTATTGAATCTCGGCACACGATAGGTGCAAGGGCGAGGATTCGGAGCTGAAGGCCAAACCGATGATGCCTCCAAGACCAAAGGCCGGCGTTGTGAGTCGGTTCCGAGTCGGACGTGTCGCTAGCCCGATCTAGCATACCTACGGAAGCCTTAAAAAGCAGGCGATGAAGAATCTATTGCGTTGGGGCTTTGGACAATTACCTGGCAGATACTCTCCAAGAAATAGAGGGTTGTATAGATTTAACATTGACTAGTCTTGGTTCATAGATGGCCCCATCATTTCAACTCGGGTCGACCTACAAGGGCTGCAACCCGATCGGCTCTTCCCACCTTCTTCTGCCAGTGTCTGCCTCTTTTCCCCCCTCCCAATATTCATTTAAACTCACCACTCCAGCCTCTCAACACTAGTATCCCAGCTCACTAGAATACTCCTTTAAACCATCCTCCCCAAATAAAATACAAATTCAAATCCACTTTTCTAACCCATCAAACCACTAGCCTACCTATCATGGCCTTCTGTGCACCTTGCAATCGTAGCTTCAACGCTTACCATAGTTATTTGCAACACTTGAATAATTCGCCCCAACATCGCCACGACCCGAACACTCTGCCATATCGGCCACCAGCTGCCGGACTTCATTGCGTCGCATGTGGACGCGTCTTCTATACCAGAGTCGAGTTTGTACGGGTTAGTGAGATTGACTAAACCCGAGATTGCAGAAGAGGATTTCCAAACGGTATCCGGACTCATTTGAGTGCAACTTTCTGTGGTTTTTGTAGCATGTCTATGGCTGTACAAGACAGATCATGGATTACGAATGTGCCTGTGGTCGACAGTTTGCCCGAGAATCATCATTAGTGTCACATTTCGAGAGGCTGACATGTCCGTCATGGGTCGACCTTCGGTTCGTCGACAATTATTTCAGCGGCCTTTGCGACCCCGAAGGACGATTCGTTCATAGGGAGAGGATCAGCCAGGATCCCCCGATGCCCAACTTCATCCGAGATAGACGAGGTTCCTACTGGTGCAGGCTCTGTCACCTGCGCTTTCGAACTCCACATGAACTGATGTGTCATGTGTGGAGTCCCCCTCACAAGAATTGGGGTCTCCGGGCCTATCAGTGCCCTTCGGACCGCTGCCAACGGATGGAGTTCTTCTGCTTGAGTGACCTCATGGCACATCTCGAGACTGGCCAGTGTGAGGAGCATCTCGGACGAGAACTGTCCACTATGGTCATTGGGCTAGTAGACGTTGTGGGATACCTTTGAACCACGTATGTGGTCCGATGTTTATTTCCTCTGCGGGATTCAGTCGTTTCTTGCCTTCTTACTTGCCTGTTTTTCGGAAACAGAAATCTCTTGCGCTTTTCCTTTTTCTTCCTCTTAACTTCAGTTTCCTCCTCGTTTAAATCGGATTGAAATTTATTGAAGAGCTTCGATCGATCTCATACCCCTTACCAAGAAGGACGGAGGAACGTTGGACACTTATCACTCCGATCAAACCTCAAATCGATTTCTTCATCGCCTATATTTGATTATTTCGACTGCTTCTCACTCGATGTATTACGATACAATTTGCAACTTTTACTTCCCATACAGCAACCCGAAAACGAAGACAATGTGTGCCCATTGCCTCGTTAGTAACGAGGCAATGTGCCCACATTGCCTTCGTTTTCGGGCTGGTGATATTTTGTACCTCGATTTATATCATTAGAATATTGTTGTACTTCCGCGAATTGTACTCCGCGTTTTTCGTTCTTCTTTGGTCTCATTCACATCGCTGCTACTTGAGTTCCGCTTTTACTCTGCTTGACGGTTACAGCAATAACCATTATGATCGACTCTTCTCCGGCTTTTCTATATTTCATCTCCTGTATTTCCGTCTACATCATCTCTGTCCTTTGTATTTGTATCTGTTCTAGTTCACCAAGCTTCGCTTTTCGTTGTTGACGTATTGAACATTTCAAAACACACACACACACACACACAAAATCAAAAGCGAAAAAAAAAATCCAAATTGAGATCAAAGCGGGTTTGCAATCCACTTCGCTTGACTCCATAATCATAAGAATCGCTACGTGAAGTGGCCAAGCTTTTCTTTTTTCACAGATCGGTGTGTACAGTCTCTATCAGCCAGGTCCCCATGTTTTTTTTTTTTTTGAATGGACTGCAAAGCTCTCCTCGCCATTAGCGTATGCGGCTTCTGAGCTTGCTTAAAATACCTCCCGGTTGCAAAATCTTTGACTCGGATAATCCAGACACTTGAAAAAAAAAACTCCTGAAGGCTGCTTGCGCGGCCCCAAAACCAGAATGCCATCATTTCCGAATGCTCTCAATATAACTAACCTGTGCGCGCCAATCTTAGTGCAAGTCCGGAGATCAGTGTGAGCATCAAATAGGTGCAAGACTCAAAAAAATCCAATTGATAAGATATCACTTTGATACATTGCGCCAAAAGAGTGAACACTATCAAAACAAAAACAAAAATAATTACAACGAAGTTTATTTGATTGGGCTGACGATGGAGCTTTGTTTTTCGACAAAGATAGAGGGTTCAGGGAGCTCGAGAGTGTCGGGAGTTGAAAGCTTTTCTTTGAGCCGACTGAAGAAAGAGAAGGCTTTGCTGGCTTGGATGTAGCCAGCCACACGGAGGAAGAAATGGAGCAAGAAGATTCCGAGATAGCTTTCAGGACATCCGATCCATGGATAACCGGGTGGAAAAGTATGAACGGCTTCCATGGGAGCCCTCAAGAGTTCTTCGTAAGCATTGAAGGCGGCCTTGTGGTCGGCTTGGTTCTCGACGATTTTGCCAGCCAAAACGTACGAGCCGACGAGCCCGACTGTCGTGCCCATCCCGGTCATAGACGAGGGACAATAGCCGGCATCGCCGACGAGGACGACTCTTCCTTTCGACCAAGTCGGACATTTGGTTTGCGTTACTCGTTGGAAATACAGGTCCTCTGCGTTCCTGATCGCGTCGACAAACTTTTCCGATTGCCAGCCCGTGCCCTTGTATAGATCGATCAAGTATTCCTTTTTGATCTCGTCTGAAACTTGGGAAGTGGTCAGCGTGTCTGTCATCTCCGGGCTCCGGAGACCGAGAATCATGACCCTCATATTACCAAGTCCATCCGGCCGGACTACAACTGATGGACAGTTGGGGATGTGGTACCAATTGCCCCATCGCTCAGTAAGCTCGTCAGGGTTAGCCTTGTAGGAAAATAGGGCCACCCACTGGTCAAAGAATTTCAAAGGGGCGGTTACGTCCTCCTTGAACACTTTTGACCGGGTCTGCGAGTAAGTGCCTTCAGCTACGATCAGGATGTCGTACTCCATGACTCTTGATTTGTCGTTTTGCAAACTGACCCGGATCGAATGGTCGGATTCATCGATCGAATCGATCGCATCTCCAAAGATGTATTCGACTCGGTCGGATAGGGAGGCCTGATAGAGCAGTTTGGCGAGTTCAGAGCGGACGATCTCGACATCGCTAGTGAAGCTGAAGCCGTGATCTTTCAAGGGGAACGTCCCGCGGGTTTGGTTGTTCCTGTTGCGGAACTTGAGGCCGATCTGCTTGGTCATCCGTTGCTCAACTTGCTCCATGAGTCCCATGAGCTCCAAGACTTCAATTCCGGGAGCCGCGAGACTGATGGTGTGTCCTCCTGGTCGAAAACTTGCAGAACGCTCGAGAACGGTCACCTGTATTCCGGCCTTGGCCAGCCAGAATGCTATCACTGGGCCACAGATCCCGGCTCCGGATATCAATACTTTTCGTATCTCGGGTGAAGATGAACTAGAAGAGGGGCTTTCAGTCTCATTGAAAGAGGTGGTTCTGCCCATCTTTCCAATGGGTCATCATAAACACAGACAGGAAAGAAAAGGCAACGTCAGATAGAAAAATCAATTGCGGGTCAGTTTATGTGCTCACTTACCTCGGTATGCCACTGAGTGTTTTTATTCTTCTTGGATTTTGTCAGCGATTGAAGTGAATGTAAGTAGTGTGAAGGAAGAAAAGGGTAAATAAGAAAAAGAAAAAAATAAAGTAGTGAGTACGGCTGTTTAAGGAGAGTGAGTTGTTTAGTTCTTTCTGTTTGAAGAGTTGAATAAAGAAATGAACGGGGTCGGTTGAGCTTGTAAAGGGTGCTCGATACGAGGGTTGCGAGAGATGAGTAAGAAAATAAGGAGGGGAGTAAGAATTGAGTCTATTGTCTAGTCCAGAGGGCGAGAAACAAGATGTTTTGTTCACTCCCGAGTCCCGCCACTCGTCCGCTTGAAGAATGTCGATTGCTTTGACCAGATCCGGCAAACACAGACTTATAGCAGACAGAGCTACATACCAATAGTCAACCGCGAACCTCATCATCAGAATGCACCACGCCCGTGTTGGTGGATGCGCGATGATTGAAGGACCCTGGTGCATACTTCCAACAGAAAGTTGGCAGCATCGTGTGGAAAGCATGACTGTTGCCGAGTCCAACTAAATACATTCATCTTCCGGTGTGCGCCAGACCAAAAAATGCGGGACACCTCTTGTGTTGTAGTGGAAGCCTCCAGTGCGTACCACGTGCTGAGCCAGAAAGAAAGAAAGAAAACACTTTTCAAGCTTGGCCGTAGTTTTTACTCGATGCTTATAGTTTCATGTTTGAATTTCTGGGCAGATGGTGAAGGCCTCAAATGACTTCAAAACACCACCGCTGTTAAGATCTATTCTACTTTTGATTGCATGTGCACAAGGCAACCGAAGATGGTCTGTTCTTTCGGACCCAGATTCGTCGATTTCTCAGTTACTCTGTGCCGCAGGTCTGGTCTTTTTTAAAATAACATTTTACTCTAGCTGTATTTCATGAAAGCAATTCTTGGATTTTTGTTTATTCAAACAGTAACGAAAACCCGCGAGGAAAGTAACCTCTGAAATTCTTCAAGCTCTTTGCGTTCTATAAGGTTGCTTGCTGCAGAGAAAACCTGATACATTGACAGATAGTATGGTAAACAGAAAAAAAGAAGATTGATAGAGCCCGATGCGGCTTACAGCCGCCCTGGGTTTCCTCAACCAACCACTTGAGCGCATTTGTTTATGGTATTTGAGTTGATCTTACTCAGAGACCAACTTGAAGAGGATAATAAAAGGTAAGAGAAGAATGCTCAAGAGCCAGTTGTTCTCCTTCAAGTCCAACAGCCAGGGCTTGGACATCTTGTTCAAGGTTGTCGTTCTACCGCTTGGATCAGTGGCCGGATCGACGGTGATCGGCCTGTTGCTGCGCACAGTCAGATCCCAAGGAATCCGGACCTTGATATCTTTCAGGACCTTTTCAGCCGTTAGCTTAGAGCCACAAGCCACCACTGGTACACCCGTCCCGGGACTATGGTTTTGGGCGAAAAGAATCATCAGCTAAGCCGTTTTTTTTTTGATGAAGGGATCAGGGGCGCCCATAATCCTCGGTATACTCACTGGGTAGAAGCTCCAACGAAATACATTTTCTCAATCGAGTCATGCTTGATGTGAGGACGGAAGTTGATGACCTGGAAGATGTTATGAGAGAGTCCAAGGATGCTACCTTTGAAGAGATTGAGATCCTTCTCCCATGTGTGCGGTGTGTTCATTGTTTCGGACTCGATCAGGTCAGAGAATCGTTCACCTTCCTTGAGATCACCAGGCTGGAGGATATTATTCTCGATCGTATGCAGAACAAATTCACGCGCATGGCTAATGATTTTCTCCCAATTCTTGGACAGGTTGCTTGCGTGCAGATGGCCGATTGGGACGAGAACGATCATGGCATCCTTGCCGGCAGGAGCCGCTGAAGGGTCGATTCGACTGGGCACGTTGACATAGAAACTCGGCTGATGAGGGATCGAGTGGCCATCGAAAATGATATCAAAGCTTTCGCGATACTCCTTGGCCAGAAAGACTTGATGGGTCACGAGGGAAGGGATCTTGCGTTTGATGGCCCAGTAGAACGAGATCGAGCTGCATGTCAATTGGGAACTTTCGAGCTTCTGGGAGTAATCGGTTTGGGGAAGTAGATTCGAGTAGGTCCAAACCAGGTCCGCATTCGAAATCACCGCATCCGCTTCGAGCCGATCTCCATTCTCTAGTTCAACCCCACAGGCTTCGCGTTTTTCGTTGTTGGATAACAGGATGCGCTTGACAGGGCTCGAGTAAAGTACTCGGCCGCCGTTCTTTTTCGTAATCGACTCGAGTGATCGAGGAAGGCGATGGAAGCCGCCAACTGGGTACCATATACCTACATAACCGAAATTACCACATTGCCGTCAATCAACGGTGTTCCATCATGTGGATTCAGTCGATGGTGGCTGCGAGCGAGCAGGCGTATCCTACCCTGAGCCAGCTCGGTATATTGAAGCAAGTTGTAAGTAGCCGGGGCCCGGTATGGAGACATGCCCACTGATTCCGAAAAAAAAAAAACCAGTTTACCGTCAGGAGATGTTCCCATTTGTTGACACACTGAGAAAAGAAGACTGACAATACATGCTAGAGAAGGTGAATGCTCTGCGGAGTCGCTCGCTCCAGAAGTAGTCCCTTGCTCTCCGATGAAGTTTGTCGAACACATGGATTTTGAGGGCCATCCTATAACAGAAAACCCGCACTTTTTTAAGTTAAGAGTTGTCCATAACAAAAGGTCGACCGGCTTTCTTACTTACCATACAAGCTCGAGCTTAAGAATGGACACGAAGGTCGGATAGTCCTTCAGCAAAACTTCTTTGATCGAGACCTAGAGAGATGAGAAGCAGCAATTGGTTGGTTGAGATATAATATCTTATAATTAGCTTTGCAAGTCAAACTCATCAACCTCGTAATGAGTTTGGCCCTATAAAATCGAACAGTGGTTTCAATAATCGGAAGTTAGTTTCCGTAATCCAATCTGAATGGTCACAGTCTGCTAACCTCGGACATAAACCTCAAAAATCTGGCCCAGCCATCCTTGCCTTCAAAGCGCTCGATTTCGGATTTCAATTTGGGCATATTTGAAGAGAGTGTGACGGTCTCTTTGTCGTCGAAATGGACCCTGCATGAATGTTAAGAGAGTGATGAAGAATCGAGTGTTTGTTAGAAAGGATAGGATAAGAAGGAGAGAATTGGGAAGGATATGGTACTCAACACATAGTTTGGATCGCATCTCTTGAGCTGATACCATTTGTCAACTCGCTCGCCAAGGTCATCGAATAAATCTTCAAAGACCTCAGGCATGAGATAAAAGCCTGAAGCCGACAGCCATTCCCAAAAAATGAGTATTCTTCATAGTTAACACAGCTTGGGAGATTATAGTCGAAGGGGGTGGATAGTTTGAAGTCCTTCAACACACTTGGACCGCGATCGAACCTGAACCCATCCTTTTCGATCAAACTACATCTGCCACCACTGAAGTTATTCTTCTCCACGACGGTTACATCTAGGCCTGCCTTTGCCAATCTGGCAGCAGTAGCAAGACCACCGACCCCAGCACCTGGAAGCAACAGTGGAAGTGTTTAGCTTGAGATCCTAGATCATGAGACAGCTTTCTAGAGGAAGTCTCACCAATGATGATTACTTTCTTCTTGTCGCCTGAGGCTGAAGGGCTTCCTACTTGCTTGGATATTGAGTTCATGGTGCGACGATTCGAGTCTTGCCTGCTAAAGAGAGTACAGATATTAAGACTGAGAGATACGGCTTGGAGGCGATGCGCAAGTGATAGGCTCTAGTTGTGATAATATATAGAGTTGAGCTGGACCAACACAACTAGGAATGCTTTTGTTTAGGATAATAGATTAGACGATGTGCGATAGCCGGTGTGCTTGGAGAAGCCAACAACACAGGGTACACTATTTCAGTGTCGATTGTCAAGTGGCAGCTTCATGGTCCGTTTTTCCAGAACCATATTAATGTTTATGTAGGGGCAGGGGGACGGAGTGATGATGCAGCTCTACCAGATGAATGTTGTGCATGGATTATAATCCCGCCCAAGAAAGATACAACCCATGAATCGGAATGTCTTGGGGGTGGCAGATGAGCGGCGGCAAGTGTGCATAGTCTTATCATGAAAGTCCATTCGATCCTCAGGGAGTGAAGCTCGATGATGACCATCGAACACTCCGATTCAGCGCGCTTGGCTTTGCAGTCTCTTATCAGCAAACGCGTGACGTGCAGAGCTTAAAGTCCGCCCATCGTCGATCTGGACCGACCATGGTCTCACCATGAGAACATCGGACTTCCTGATTCCTGGTGGTGAACATGCTGAGACATATCCAACCATTCAGTTTGTTGAGATGGAGATGCGAGCCGGCTTGCTCATGGCAAGCACCATTTGTCTGTAGTCGAAAATAAGCAATCAGATGCATTCAGGTAAATACGGTTTGACCCTGGAAATGTAACAGACAGGCAATTGGTTTGTCGAGCAGAGAGTTAAAGGATTGGTCCAACTATGTAGAGTCAAATCCGAGTGGTCATATCAAACAACAGGGGTCACATTGGGAGGCCAGTTGCCAGAGGTGGTTGATGTTGAATCTCAGGGGGAGTGAGCATCGAGTGAAGCTTCTCAGCTTTCAACTTCAAGGAAAGTGTTGTCTCAACTGAATCAGAGCCATCGGACAATTGGTCAAGAGCTACGCGCGCATACATGCAAAAGATTCCCTCTTGACCATCTGCACTCGACTCCAACCAACCCGATGGTACTCTCAACCAGACTCATCACCAGGTTCAAACTCAGAAGGACATCCAGATGCTGGGGTCCACTACAACCTCCAGCTCGGCCGGACTTCTCAACTTTCGTATCTTGTCAGAACGGCCTTCCCGAGACAAACCCGAAAACCGAGATATCCAATCAGTCAACCAGTCTACTAAAAATCATCAACCAACAGATCCTCGTAAGTCCTGATATATTTGAGTCATCCAAGAACTTATCAAGATGAATTTTTAAACAAGGCCCGAAAAACCTACTTTTTGTTTTTGGTTGAAGGCTTCTGGACCTATCTCAGTACCAGTGTGGATGAAATTATGCTTGCACCATCCTACGCTAGGGTATTATTCTAGAACCGATCGATCCAATCAGGCCGACCCATTCGGTAAACAGGGCGATTTTATCACCAGTCCGGAAATTAGCCAGGTCTTCGGAGAGGTTCGTCATCCTGAGACTTTTAACCAGAGAAATGTTTACACAAAACTTGAAATAGGGTTCATCTGACTACCCTCTCCATTTTTTTTTTTTTAAAAAAATAATCGACGTTGAACTATTTAGTTAATCGCGATATGGTTTATCAGTCGGTGGCAAGCAGCGGGCTGTCCAAGACGGACCAGAATCATCGAACTTGGACCGGGAAGGGGGACATTAATGGCCGACATAATCAGAGTAAATCACTCACCCCTTCTCACACCCCTCTCTGCTCAGATGAGGCTAACATTTGGTCGTTTACTTGGGCTTCTTAAGACTTTTAAATCGATCAAAGCGTTTGATGATGTCGATTTCTCGATCCATTTCATCGAAAATAGTCCGTTCATGCGGGCACTTCAGGATCAGAAACTCTCAACATTCGATGGTCTCAAGAAAGAGAACGTTTCTTGGTTTGATCGGATCGATCAGGTAGGCAAAGGTAAAAATTCATGTCTTCATACCTTCAGGATTTAATCCTCTTTTTTTGTTTTCGGGTGAGTGACTAACTATTTACCTGTGATTTTCAATTACCTAGAGAATGATCAATGGACGATGGTGATTGCCCATGAATTCTTCGACGCTTTACCAGTGCATATCTTCCAAGTATGTCATTCCCCTTAGCTTTCTTTTTAGTCCAGATGATATTTAAGGAATATCTCAAAAGAGGAAGAAAAGAAAAAGAGGCTGATTGGAACTCTTTAGTACCCATAGAAAACACCGAGGGGATTTCGAGAAGTGATGATTGATATCAATAATGCCGACATGTCACCGACAGAGAAATCGCTTCGATTCGCACTTTCTCCCGGTCCTACACTCGCTTCTCAAATGCTAATTTCAGAGGAACATCAGAAGCTTCCAGTCGATGCCAAATTGGAGGTATCACCCAGTGCCAACCAAATCGCAGGTCAAATTTCTCAACTGCTCAATTCTGACGCAGGCGGGACTGGATTGATAATCGACTATGGCGCCGAGCACCATTTCTCACATTCCTTACGAGTGAGTTTCCTTGTTTTTTTCTCTCTCATTGATTTTTTTTTGACTGTATTCGTTCCTGAGAGAGGTTGATTTTTTGGGTTTTGATTCAGGGATTCTATCAACATCAGATTGTCGATCCACTCAGTCGGCCAGGCTTGACAGATATTACAGCAAACGTTGATTTTGCAAGCTTGAAGCGATCAATGAGTCCCAATGGTTCGTAAATTACAAAATGAACTATTGGTGACACAGGTTCAAGGACTGATGACGAGATCTGGTTTGGCTTGGATGTAAAATTTAGTTCTAACGTATGGCCCGATCACTCAGCGCCAGTTCCTCCTATCGATGGGCATCGAAGTTCGAACCAAGCGTTTAAACCAGTCTTCTTCCCTAACTGAAGACAGTTCTCAACGCTTGATATCTCCCTTCGGGATGGGAGACCAGTACAAGTTTTTAGGGTTCGAACATCCTCCGAGCCAGTTATCGTCTACCCAAGCTCCTCAAGAAGTCTATCCTTTCCCTACCTGACCTATAAGATTACTTGATCAATCATTCCTACTATCCACACATATCTGTTTAGTCTCGATATAGCCTAATTCAACTCCATGATGAAAACTGAATTCATGTCCTATGAAGATATCTCTAATAGAGTTTTTTTATGATGTTATTATGGCCGGTGATGTGAGGGACTGAGCATTGGCAAACCGGTGCTGGCACAGGCTCATGGAATGGTGATTCTATCAGCTCGGCTACATATCCTTCTGGAATGGTCCTCAAACCATGAAGCCGTAGAAACGGGTCATCTCACCACACACGCAGGCCAAGATGCACATACGGGAGAGGAGGTACAAGCAATTGAGCAAGTTTGCTTGGGGATCGACACTCGTCTTACTAATCATTGTAAGTGACGGGTGATATCCGATATTGCAAATTATAATCTCATCAAGCTAACGTTTAGTCTGATCAAAACTCCAGTCAAATGACAGCTCTCATCAAAGCTCAGTGCAACAAGAGCAGTGGACTCTCAAACAGTAACTTGTCCAGTTCGACCATCACCATACAGAAGACTATTACAAGAAAACCCTAGTTGGGAGTACAGTTGAATTGATCATCAAATCGTGTGAATCTCATCTTTGAAGTGATATAGGGCAGTTCGGAAGTGGCCAATAGCCAGACAGAAGTGTTCTCTCAAGGTAAGGAACCACGTTTTGAAGTGATTTCCAGATAGAGGAAGATCGATCTGAGCGTCCGATCGGGGTAAGAGATAGAAGCATAATAAGAGGATAGAGGAGTCGAATTCAGTCGAGAGTTCGTCGGGCAGAGACTTGATCCGTGTCATTTGGGCCATGAGCAGCTCCCGATCATGATAGTAGAATGGGAGTGAGAGGTTCACCAGTCTCTGGATGGTATGGCAGAGAGAGCCCAATTGATCCTCGATTCTTCTCAGCTCGACCGAACTCATCTTGGTCCCGATCGTGAAGGGCAGCTTGTTGGTCCGACTGTTCGATAATTTGTTTAGCAGGATTCTCGTTAGCTTGAGGAGCGGGATGACGGCTTTGACGAGTTGAATCTGGCGGGGTGGGATCTCATCTTGCGTGGGGAGTCTGGTAGAAGATTCTTGATGATGATGATGATCATTGGCTGGAGGACTGGTATGAGAGCGTGGAATATCTTCGTTGGTCGAAGGTTCTTGTTCAGTCCTACTACGGAGTCATGCTGATCAAGGTTTGATTGAGCCGAGTCATGCTGATCAAGGTTTGATTGAAGGTCTTGTTCGGGTTGATCATCTTGGATTGATTGAGTATCATCTTTTGTGGGTGGTTTTGAGGGCAGGTCGATAGCGAGGAACTTGGGGGGGAAGTTCTGGAGAGTGAAGTCGAGATTAGACCCGAGCCTTCGCCAGTCAACTTGGAGCAGACTGAAATCGGATCGATTGGACCAGTCGATGAGCAGTCGGATCATTGCTGAGGATTCATCGGTTGCATCGATTAGTGTTTCCCTTGCTGCTCGAGTGATCGTCTTCGATCTGCGTTGTGGCTGGATTCGAAGGAATGAGATATGGTGCTGGAATAGGGATGAGATGTGAGTTCTGAATAGCTCGTCGAGTTTGCAGATCAATTCCCAAGCTCTGTAGCTCTTCACATCCCCGTACTCATGGTCATTGGAGCTCATATAGGTCGGTGTGGAGGGATTATATGCGGCGGCAGGGATATGGATGGAATGGATGAAGAGGTTGATTTGATCGATGGTATGGCCGAGTTGGGATATGATCTCTAGAGTCTTCTGAAGATCGAGATGTGTTGGTGTGGGGTGACGTAGTCCTAGGATTGAGTTCAAGAGATCGAGGAGTTGGTGTTCCAAGGAGGGTAGGTAGCTGGTCTTGAGCTCGAGTATGAGCTCATTCCTGGTCTTGATTTCATCGGCCGATAGTCCTTGTCGACTATTCTGGATCTCCCGCAAGCTCAGGTGTAGACCATTTCTGGTTATGGTCGGGATGGGTTCATGACCATCCGGCTCAGCTAGCTCTATGCTCTGGTCGTATCTTTCAGTCAAGCGCTTCAGTTCCTGGATGACCGATTCTAGTTGATCCAAACACAGTCTCGATCAGTAAATAGTTTACTTTGTGCAGAGTTGTCTCGTTTAGTTACATACCAGTCGTTGTTTCGCTTGGTTCGTCCATTCGAATAAATAGTTATCTCGGCGCTTGGGTTTTGGAGTTGGTGTCAAGGCTTCCTCGCCATGTTCGTCTGTCTGTTAAGAATAGTTTGCAGTGATCGAGTCGCGTCGCGTCGTGATGTGATATGATCTGATGTGTTGTGGTGATGTATTTATGTATGTATGCAAGTTGGATGTATGCAGTTGGTTAGGACCCAGGAAACCCCCTGTAGACCACAGTAACATAAACGTCAAAATGTATACAACCACTTGTAGCTGGGGTATACAACATACAGCGGATTGGCTTACTCATCTTCACAGTCAGCTGACTCGGCAGTCTTCGCCAGCACAGCACCATATCGAAGGAACGACTCACCAGTCAACAACAACAGCAACAGCAACAACAACAACAACGCATAAAAAGAAAAAAAAGAAGAGGAAGGAAGACTCAACAACAACAACTCAGCAAAAAAAAACAAAAACAAGCATGACTCAGAACAACAAGAAGAAAAACTAGCTCAGAGCTCAGTCGATCCATAATCACCACCAAAAAAAAAAAAACACTCTTCCGGTAAGAGGACAACACCCGGCCTGATAACCATGCTCAACAACGACCGATCGAACCTATCCAACTCAATCAACTCATCATCATCATCATCATCATCATTCATCCCGAGTAACAACAACAGCCCAAGGCTAACCGGCTCAGAAGGATCAAGCTCAAGACATACCAACCACACCTCATCACTACTGCCCACCAGAACATTCTCTCCAACCACAACCGATCGAACCAGTTTACCCATCGATCCACTCTCACCACCCATCCCCAACGAACACCAACTATCTCCACCCAGTAACCATCATCACAAACGACACCAGACTACGATCTCACAATGTTCTGAACAGAGTAGCATCCTCTTCGGTACATCTCAAACCGACGAATCTCCAGAAAATAACCACACCATGCCATCCCCACAACATACCGATAGCCAACTCCAGCCTTCCTCGAGCAGAAGGAGACTCCCGTCGTTTAACTATACCCCTGATGATGAAAGCATCGAAGAACTACTCAAAACCTTGGGCTATAGTCCGGGACAGTCAAGGGCCAACTCACTATCCTCCCCAAACGGCCCCCCCGATCCCAATCGAAGTACCCAACAACGAGACAACGAATCACGCGGATCCATGGTCATGTTGGACATCGATGGCCGGGAATTTTCGATCCATGAACATTCTCTAAGCCCTGTCTCGTCAGTCCTTCCTTCTCTCCCCCTCTCTATAAACACACACTAGCACTAGCTATCTCGTCTCTTTCAATCCAAAATGCCCAGGCATGTTTACCGAAAACTCTCTGATCCAGTGAGCGCACCGAACTCGAGACTGAATCCTCCAAGACGAGTAGTAATAAGAGGCGGCCATTAGTTCAGAGCGTGCTTTCTCAGCGATTTCAGTCTGGCCTCCAGTCTACGGCTCCACTCGCGCTCTCCCCCAAGCCAAAACATCTCTCAACCCCCTCATCCCCATCTAGTCCTCGTTCATCATCCCCCTCCTCTTTACGAGCCACCGTCCCTAAGAAGATCGACCATCCCAGTCACTTCTGCCAACCGGTCCATCAGAATAGACCTGCCTCCTTTGGATCCCACTCGCCAAATTCGCTCAGTCCTGTTCTTACCAAGTCATCTCATCTCCTCTCCTCACCACCCGTCCCAGGAAATAGCCTTGCCCATCCCTCCCTACACCGATTGCCCAAAAAGACTTCACACCTGATCCAACTATTTGAAAATAGTAAAAATCAGTCTCCATCGAGCATACCCATGTCAACCCCTCCCAACAAAACCACACCCACCAATCAAATTCAATCTGCACCAAATTCTAACCTATCATCAAGATTCCCATCAGAAAATCATGCTCGAGGAAAATCTCCTCAAGTACCAGTCTCCCCGACCCAAACACGAGAAGGTTCGAATTTCTATCTCACAGATCACTCCGCAGGAAGGTTAAATTCCCCACAGTCCAAAGCACCTCAATCACCAGCGGCTGGCTCAACAGAATCCTTGAGCTCGGCAGCGCTACCCGGACCAAGTATGACCGAACAAGAGTGCTTGAGATTACGGAGAGAGCGTCGTGAACGGATAGCCATGGCATCCAAGAATCATGCAGCTGCTTCAGCTTCACGGCTAAAGAATGAAAGTCAAACCGTACACCTAGCACCCCCAAGCCCAATGTCTGATCACTTCCTCAAGCATCGCGATCAGTTGCATCGTCGATCACCACGAGAATCAGTGATGTTCAGGTTCTACATTCCGGCTCAATTTGGTATCGGAACCCACAGACGAATCAATGGCGACAGACCCGAGGAATCCTGACGACTGAGCAGTCTATCTATGAATGAGAATGGCGAGGTCGATCAAAATTTACCCGATCAATCCATTGAACTCAATCTCAGCGGTTGTACATCTGTCGAAAGCGTAAGAAGCAAACGCTCTTATGGCCCTGATTTTAATGAACCACATCTTCACATCCTGAGAATCGCTTGGGCCGAATTCGACCCTCGCTCGAATTCTCGTACGGAATTCGAAGAATTCTTGGGTTGCAGTCGGGCTACCCAACGGGCGGACTGGGTGGGGGCAATCTGGTATGTTTTTTTTTTTTTTGACATTTGCTTCTCTTTTTGCTGAAGCAGGTTGGTGAGGTAGCATTCACATTTGTTGATGATTTGGTTCTGCTTCTGTTTTGCTTGTCATTCAGGCAAGCTGCTCACGACCTGGGTGGATTTGTCGACCAGCCTGACATACCCTTGCGAGGAAACCCATCTCCGAAGTCTGACCAACTCAATAATCCGGCCGCATCCAGTCCTTCAGCTGCTAATACCCACCAACCTAATACCGCTTCCCCAGCTCTACCGTCTAAACAGGATTGCAGTCCTAGACTGGATCCGGTCTCGCTCGTCGATCGCTCGGTTTCTGTTGGTCCTGCCGAGGCCCCTCAACTTGCGCATTCGCCAACATCTCAACTCAAACCACCTCCATCTTCTGCTGTCAGCAGTCGAACATCTGAAGTTTCTACTGGCACGTCCAACTTGCAAAGCGAACTAGATCGCGACTTGGTTGCGGTTCAACAGGCTACGAACCCGCAAATCCTTTCACCCGCCTGTCGCTTGTATTCCGAAGGAAATGACCCCATAGTGCAAGAAAATTTCAACGGAGTTCATGTAGTCGATCCTGCGTATCAAGATTACCCCATCAATCCCAATCAGGAGGAAAATTACACGCGGTCTCGATCACCTGAGCTAGATATCTTTGCAATGCTGGATAGGATGAGTGTCAAGGGTTCGATCCACCGAAACACGGCGGAGTTTTACGACCCTCCAAAGCCTGAGTCCTTACAACCCCAACAGGTTCAGGATATGCATAATCCCCAACCGATCAGTAACAGTCTTCATGCGAATATAACTGCCCTTGAAGATACTGCCAATCAGAGTCACCGTAGTCCCTCGCGCCATTCTTACCATACCATCAGGCCAACATCTGCCACCGGAGTTCATGAACAACTGCCCGACTCAGCTCGTTCATCAGCCGTTGGATCGCGCTCTAGTCACAGGGAGCAGCTTTCAGAAGTGAGGTCAATGTCTCAAGCGACACATGCAAGTCAAAATCGACATTTAAGTGTCACACCAACTCCCATCACGCAGCGGCCCGCCGGCTCGCGCCCTCAAACGACTCCTAAACCACGTTCAAGTGAAGGCTTGCACGAGCCAACCACGGCCCGACAAGCAAGAGGGGCCTGGTCAGATACGGATCGATTATCTAACCAGACCGATAATATCCTCTTGGGCGCCAACCCCGCTCGAGCAGTACAGAGAGATTTGCGTAGGATCTTGAAGACGATCGAGCGCAATGATTCTTACCGAGCCGCTGAATCAGACTCATTGGGTCATTACCTTGATAGTATTCAAAATCAGCTCCAAAATGTCGCAATTAAGCTCCGTGGTCACCAAGTAGAACGTGAACCTAATTACCCCGTAAACGAAAGTGATGAACCGACGATAGCAGATAAGGTAGACTACATGCTCAGCCTGTAAGTAATCTTCCAACATTCTTACCTTTTTTTTTTCTTTGGCTGATCACTCTCGAAAAAAAAAATATACTAGGTGTAACATTTTACTCGAGAGCCAGCACAAGGTCTCCAGTGCAGTTGAGAAGAACCTAGAAGCTCACGGTGTTAGTATCAGCAATCGATCAGTGCACACGCGATCTATGAGATCGACGGCGAATCCCAGTCGGCGTTCCTCGCATGTGCCCACCGAACCTGGTATGCCAGGCCCAGCGCCATTAACGCCTCGACCTGACAGCAGCTTAGATAACGATCGGGTGACATCACCTGATCGGCTTGACTCGCCGCCCCTGCCACCCCTGCCTGACGCGAATGGAGGCGAAGAAAACATCGTCATTGATGAGGGCCCCGGAAATCCCAGCGAGCTTCCTCCCCAAGTAGCAATACAGGAAGCTGGTCTTAGTCGAATCGAAAACTTATTGGTCGAACTGCTCTCTCGGGTCGATGAGTCCACCCAACGACAGAATAAAGAACCAGCACCACCGGTTCCTGATAAGGATGTCGGCGATGGCCATTCCACTCGCTCGCGTCGCTCGCATGCTAATACCGATAGCCAGAGTGAAACGCTGGACTTGGACGCCGATGTGGCGCTCTGGAAATCGAGGGGTAATATGAGCGATCCTGCCGGTCCTTGGAATGATGAGAAGCGACATCCTCTAGGGCAGAGCGTCAGCAGCCATGCTCCTAGTGTCTACCCTCCTACCGAAGCGGAAACTCCATCGTCTTCAGACCAACCCACTCCCCAAGTGATTCCAGTAAGTCTTCATTTCCTTTGTTCCTCACCTCAATATGAATCCTGAGAATGTTTGTCTATCGAATAATAGGATTATAATCTCGCATATGAGGCGGAGGACCAAGTGGCTCGACGGATTGCAGATGAACGTGCCCGGGCTGCCCGAAGACTCGAGGGAGTCTCGACCCCATTCGGCTATCGCCAATCCATCGGCCAGGGATATTCAGCATCCGTCAAACCTCGAGTCCCAAGTCATCTTTCCCAGCCAGGCCCAACGATCCCTCCAAACCAAGACCAACACGCCGAGGATCCTTACTTACCTTCCTCTCAGAACGACCCTCGTCTGTCCCGCCCTGACCTTGAACAAAGTCATTGGTCTTCTACAGTAAGAATTGTTTCAGTGTAATTAAAAAAGGTTATCCAGGTTTGAGTTCATTGATAAGTCTTACTTTTTGCAACTACTATTCTCTTTAGACTCCGACCGCTGAGGAACAGGTCAGTTTCCTTGTCCCCCGCTGTTATTTGAACCTTTCTTATCAACTGAGTCTAAGCTGAGAGTTTGTCTGGTTTGCTGTTGATAGGATGATTCCACGCCCCCACCTCCACCTCCACCGAAAGATGACCACTTTGTGGCTCCACCACCTAGTCAACCCGCTCTTTCGGTTCGGGCCCCTAGTCGAGTTCCCTCGAGGGCAATTTCACATCAGTCGGCTGCCCGCCCTTTATCTGTAGCGTCTAACCCGCCAGCACCCATCCCACCACCTCCTCAATTATCAACAGAGGAACTGCGGAATGTAGTCCACGAAGCTTTGCAACACGTGAGTTTGGGAAGATGTCATTTTTACCCTTCACTTTTGTGGATGTGTGTTGTGCTTATTGGCGGGGATCTTGATTTATAGCATTCTACGGAGCAGGCGCCTGTTCTTGAAGAAGTTGTGACCTTGCTGCGTACTCAGGACCAAGGTAAATAATCCGTTTTGAATTTCCAAGTCTGGCAGACGACTGAGAAGGCTTTATGCTTTATTTCACATGATCAGTCAATCAGGCCTCAGTCCTTAATCAAGCAGAAGTATCGAGGTACTTGACGCAACTGAATACTCATCTGGAGGGAGTACTACATAAAAAGAATGACGAGATTCTGCAGATTGGGGAGAATGTTGGACGGCTAGAGAAGCAACTGGCGGTCCTACTCGAGCAATCTCAGCAGATTTCATCCGTTATTCCCCTCATGAATGCGACAGCCTCTACCTCGGCACCGCCACCTGAACAAGCTCCAACCTCGATCGATCAGCCCGAGGAAGCGCTCAACAGAGATCTGGACGCTGGGCCTTCCGCCGAGCCCCACACGGATGTCGATCCCGGCCCCGATGGCCCCATCGATGTGTCCGTTCATCCTCAAGAGGGAGACGCGTTGGATCCCCCCTTAGAGGGCGGAGAACCACACGGTATGACATGCTCTGGCCAACTAATTAAAGACCATGTTGCTGATCGATTGATCTGTCATTTCTAGTTACGCTGATGAGCAAGAAGCCCTCGGTTGGGTATCGGATCACAGGCCCACGAGCGCGAAAGATCAGCTTCAACAACAAAGGGCTCAAAGGCCCCCGGATGCCCTCTGGGCTTGCGACGGTTGGCAAGCTGTGGGGAGGGCCTGTGCCGGCGGCCGACCGGGCCGCCCGATGGGGCACCGGCGCTGGGGGATCGCTGAAGCGCGTGCCCACTAAGTCCAGTCATGTTTCTGAGAACCCCGCGACCGTCGAGGCCGCTCTCTCTGCAGTCAATCCTGATGACCCCGTCGGGCAGGAAGCGCTCAGTCAGATGGATCACCCCGATGATGATAGGGCTGGTACGATCGCATTGGGGTGAGTCTCTCGATCATCATCAAAACCTGATTGATTACCTTTTTCACTGATCATCCTCAACACTAATTCCATTGCTTTTGGAAAACTATGACATTCTTCTTAGGGTCTCACACATCTTGAAGTTCTTGAGAGAGAATTCAGAGAAGGAGGAGCTTCGCCGACAGAAGAAAGAGCAGGAAAAGGCCGCTCAACCTCAGCCTGCTATCCCTGATGAAATGGAACAACGTCGGGCAAAGATCGAGGAGTTGCAGTTGAGAAGAGAAGCGACCCTAGCGGAAGATAAAGCTAAACGTGAGTGACTCATTTTTGATCTCATTTTTGTTTTCCAGGGGATTATTTATATTTCGATGTTAATGACACTGTTGGGTATTTTTTATAGAAATGGAGGCGATGATGCAAGCGATGAGACAACAAGCGATCGAACATGACCGATTGTTGAAGAAGATCTCCGAGGAACTCGAGGCGAAGAAGTCCAAGACTTCGGAACCTGAGAATGAAGAAGAGGAGCGCAAGAAACGATACGAAGAAGCGATGAGCGATGTGAATAATGTGTTGACTAATGTCGAGAGTGGGGTGATGGCTCATCTGGAAGACTTTAAAGCTCAGATGATGAAGGAGGTAAGTCATTTCATTTCTCTTCAAATACTGCCCGCAAGTCTGACTAATCATTTTTCTCAAAAAAGATGAAACAAACGTTCGAAAAGGTGGGCGAGTTGAGGGAACAGAAGCAGCAGATTCAAGCCGACATCGCCGATATGTTATCGTACATGAGTAAAGTACGAGGAGGCGGGCCGGACGTGAGTCTATTGCCTTCCCTTCAAAGAAAAAAAAAGAAGAAGAAACGTTCTTGCTGGATTCTGACGTAAATCATTTTGACTCGCATAACATTGATAGCCTCGCTGGCAACATCCTATTCCGGTCCCAAGTGTCCATGGGGGACCTGAAGGCTCGGTTATCAGTGGCCATGCAGGACCAGCGGGACCAGCAGGGACTAATTATCCCTTCCTCTCCCCGATCCCTGAGAGCTATCCCAGCCCTCATGCCGACTTCCCAGACCGTGATGGGACGGAAGTCGGGGTGGCTAGGAGCAACATCGGCTTCGGGCCTCGGTCTCCTAGTAGACGTTGATCCTTTATATCCTTCCCCCCTCAATCTCTTGCCCTCTTCTTCCTCTTTTGGCACTCTTGCTCTACTTATATCCCTCGCCCATGTATCGTTATTCTTGGCCTTCGCGCCTTTCACTTATATATCAATATCCGATCTCGGGGTCCGACGTCTTTCATATATTTATATATGTTATACATCTATAATCACATTTGTCATCCTTCATTCTCTTCGAGCTTTCGTCGTTTGAGTCTTTTTTTTAATCTCCCTCTTCTTTTGTTTATCATATATATATATCATAGCTCTTGAAGTAGAATCTGCTTGATTCTTGGTTTGTTAAGTTTGGTCTCTTGGTTTTTCTTTTCTTCTTTTTCCCTTTTCTTCTTGATCTTTCTTGCTTTTTTTTCTTTAGTGTTGTCTAAAGAAAAAAAAAAAGAGAAAACTAAACAAAAAGACAGAACGCTCTTTTCTGTTATTTTTGGTAGATCGATAGGATAGGACCGTATGAGTCATCATTAGTATTTCAATCTGACGTAGTGTTTTTCTTGAAGTACTTCTTCTTCGTTTTCTTTCATCCTTCCATTTCCATCGTCTCATATTTTTTTTTCTTGTTTAGATCACACATCCTCAACTTCCCGGACCTCGGTTTCTTTTTTTTCTTCTTATATAAAATATACAAATCAATCCAATCAGTCATTCAATCAGTCAATCAGTCATCATATATATCATGGAAATTCGTCCATCCCAAATTGTATGTATCCCTGATATCAACGTTTAACATGACTTTTTTCACGTCGAGAAGAAGGGACTTTGATTCGTTTATTCTATACGTTTCAAATCATTAGTACTTAATTACTTTATCTTGAAATAATCTAAGAACCTCAGCATTTCCCTGGTTGGGTTGGTATATATAGTAATTGATAACATATCATTTGCGACCATTATCGTCATTCTTTCATTCTTTTGATTTCTATGGATGTCCTCTTTTGAGCTTTTCAGTCCAACGATCATCGAAAGTTGATCATACACAAACGTGATCGATCGAGCCTAAAACCAAGTGTCGGGCCCTCCTTCATGAAGGGACTCTTGAGATTCAATATAAGCTCGATGATTTATTCATCTTGGAGGTGTTCTATCCACCGAAACATTGTGCACAGATAATTGATAACATATTAGTAGTGTTGCTCGACCAACTACTACTACCCATCGAACTCAACGCGACCGATCGGTCATAATACTAATAGGAACGAATAGTCTGGAGCAGGAGATCACCAAGTCCCTGATCAGACCACAACAACGACCGAGAATATGTAGTCACAGAAGCCGCAACCGGATCGGTGGAAGCACTGCCAAAAAGGAGCCATCCAACAATCAGTCCCTCGGCAATAAGGGAGTACGGCCGAACAAGCTGATCAGATAGACAACCACGAAGAGATAGGATCCAAAAAGAGACGGGTCTGGCCGGGAATTGAACCCGGGACCTCACCCAGATTGTTCTCATCCCATTGCGAGATGTAACCCTAAGGGTGAATCATACTACTAGACCACCAAACCGATCGATGACGTAAACGCGGATAATTACGTACTTGATTTTAATTGTTTGCAAGTTGAGAGCCAATCTAATTGCACACTGCTCCCGTTGCTTTTTTCAGGGAGTGAGTAAACAGCCAGAGTATCATACATTTATGTTCACTCAGCCATGTCTCAGCTTGGCGGCTGTATTGATTGAGCGAATTGTCTCAGACAATAGTGCTTGTTGATTACATATTATATTGTAGAGCATGCTGACCAGTCTGTCTGCACAATGGACATTATCATTTGGCCCACAATTAGGTATCCAGATGATTACATAACTTTGTCTGAGATGATTGAGTAAAAATACATGCCTGTTTTCAACACATTTATCCATACAGTAGGGAAAACACCAATCACTCACAAACACACTTTTTGGAATCATTAATGGATACCATCAAAAAAAAAAAACCTCAAATTACAAAATTTTCTCAAGAGATTCAACCAGGCCGGTTTTGTCACTGCATGTCATCTTCAATTGGTCTCCAAATATTCACTCAAGCCTCATCCCAATGAAATCAGTTCACAATCCTTGTTTGCTTGGGGTGAATATTGCTCTGATTTCCTACTTGAAGACATCAATCAGTTACACTCCTCCCAAATTCATGCCCATTATACCTGAGCATCCAACAATTGATACACCTCTTAGATATAGCTCAGAATTCAACTTGCATTCCAATTTTGAAACCCCAGAATCTGACCGGTTGGAAAACTCAGTGAATCCATGGTACCTTCAATCAGAACCAGAAGGTCAGTAGAGATTGAATTTGTAATTTCTCTCATGTTCACCCCAAAAAACTTTTGTCTCTTGCTGGAAAGTGACATCAAGAGATTGCATGTTTAACTTGGTTCACACTACGCTTGAAGCTTACCTAACACACATGAATATTGCACTAGTAGACAAAGGGGTGGTGTGGTGGTTTGAACACTTACAAAGTGCTTGTGTTGAATGTTCTAATATTGAATCTCTCTTTTAAAACAGACCGTGATTGGTGGATGGAAATTGTGAAAGATTATTCAGATGAAGTGTCAAAGCAAAAAGCTGTGGGCCTAGTCATGGAATTTCCAATTGAGAGGGGAGGTGAGTCATCCAATTCACAAGAGAAGCTGAGTTGGAACCCCATGAATTGACATGTGTGGATGAATTTTGAAAAGGGGTCAGGGGAACAGTGGAACTCCCCCCTTTGGAGTCAAAAACATTAGCTGGTGGAGATTTACAAGATAGTCAAAATTCTGGGCCCATTAAAGATTCTTTAATTTCAAGAAAGCGTTCAAGGGATGGTGCAGATCATCATCATGAAGAAAATCAGCCACCAAAACAAACCAAAATTCTTGCAGAAAGAATTAAGTTTTCTACTGAATTGATGAAAAAGAATATTGGACCAATCAAATCTTCAAATGGACATAAGTTTGGGGAATTTGAAATCATGAGTTCAGATCAAAAATGGAATCCACTTTTTGATTTGGCGAAGAGAACTCTTGGAAGCACTGATGAGTCACAAATTATGAAAGCATTTAAAAATAGATTTGATGAACAAATAAACAAAATGAATGAACTATTAGATCAGGGGAATCATAAAAGAGTTCAGGTAGAAAATAGCAGTCAAATCAAAATCGTGGGTATTTATGAGTCAAAAGCAAAAGAATTTGACCAATTCATTATTCATCCAGTTGGAGTGATAGGTATGAATACCCATGTGAGAACCAACATAGCTCACATGAAAAGGAGAATTACAAAAATTCTTGAAGCTTTGATATTTTTTCAAAGGCTAGCCAGCTTCCATGGTGTAGACAGCCATATTATGGGCCACCCAATGGAGAATACCACATTGATGAAATGGATTGAGTCTATTTTCTTTGAGGGAATTGAAGACAGTTTTCCACTCCTTGGTTGGGTGAAAGGTACATTGACACTTTCCAAAATAGAACAAAGGTTGGGTAGCATCCAGAAAGTACTTTCAATAGTCCTGACTGACTGGAAATTCCCAAGTGCCAATGACATTTATGAAGTTGCTCTTTCCTTATTAGGATATTGGTACAAAACAGTGGCTCAAAAACTTGATGGATCAGAACTCAGACTCAACAATCACCTCAATCTTTACTGGAAATTGATGGCAGAAATCAAAGTAGAATCTGAGAAAATCAGGGATGTGGTTACAGTTCAATATCCAGAAGGTGACTTGATTGCAAATAAATTCAGCTGCCAAAAAGTTGAAAGGTGGAGGAATTTGCTTATTTCTCCACTTAATTCATTTAAAAGGCACTCTGGGTTGGGTATTTCAGAGGGTACCAGGAATAAAATCAAGACACAAGTTAGGAAATATTTTATGAGAAGCCGGTTTGATTTAGTTCCTGAAAAGAAGATCATTTTGAAGGATTCACCTCTCTGTCTTATCCCTTTTTATGCTTGGGAAAACACCAATCAGGATGTTTTGATTGAATCAAGAGGAATGGAAGATGGTCAAATGGACAAGGAGAGGAAAATTAATCTCATTGAAAGCCGTATACTTCAGCTTGTAGAGTCACTGAATATGTTGCACATAATTACAAGCAAAATTCTGGGTGTCACAACTCAGGAAAATCACAATCAACTCATTGAATGGTTTCAAGAGATTCTGTTTAGTCACACCAAATACAGTTTTCCAATTCTTGGTTGGGTGAACATTCCGTTTCCACCTGTTGATAAGCCACCTGAAGATCTGTTTGATTTACCTCAGAAATACTTGTCAAAACATTTATTCACTTCAGAACGTCTGTCTAAGAATACTGCTACTCATATCTCACTCTGCCTATTGGGGTTTTGGTATGAGGAGATAGCTTTGAAACATAAAATATTCTCCCCAAAGGAAGATAAACCTTGTGACCATTACCAGCTTTTCAATGAGATAAAAAAATTTCTTAAACAATTTAACAAATCCTCTTAAACCATCATTCATGTCTTGCCCCTAGGATTTGATAAATTCAATCCCCGGAAGCATCCATTTCTGGTATCTATTTCCAATGCCTCATAGTCAGCCGTTTATGCCAATGTAATCAATCATCTTAGAATGCATAATAATAAACAAGCTTTGTCTATATACACACAGTGGGAGACACCATATTACCATAACAGATTTTGAAGTGTTGAAAATCTTCAATGAGAAAGACCCAAAAATCCACCCCTTTGGGAGGGAGTGATAACCACACTCACCCCCCTTTGCACAAACACTCCCACACTCCCCTCTCTGAGGGGAGTGCAGGACTGTGTGTCAACAAACTCCAGGGGCATATCCTGTGGAGGTTGGTGTGCAGACCTGCACACCAATTTTGATTGGCATGCGGGACTGCACACCAACTAGCAACCTAAGCCCATATTTATATCCCATAGGACGCAGGCATGGTTCCTATGGGATAGCCCATGTTGTACATCAAAAATTAAAATTAAAAACAAAAAATAAGATGGCTGGGAGGAACCCCTCCCAGCCCAAAGTGTACACATAGCTCAGGGCCAATAGGAATACCTCTTGGCCTTGAGACCTTGTAAAGTCTCAAGGCCAAGAGGAACCCCTCTTGGCCTTGAGACTGTAGATTCTCAAGGCCGATGAGGCACAACCTTGTTGACCGGAAGGTTTTCCTTCCAGTCAAAAAGTTTAGAGAGAATATCTGCTTGCTTTTTCCGTGGAATCAGACATCCAAATCAGCACATGCACCCGCTGGTGGGTATCTGTGGATATCTGCCCCGTAAATCACACCAAGGGTGCAAAATGGAAGTTCCTTAGGATACAGAGAGTTGCATAAACAGGAATTTTGAAGTCCTTGCAGCCTGAAAGCCTTATTTTTTTGTTGCTTGCAGTCTGTGACCCTCCCAAAAATATGGAAAAGTATATATTTTTTTTGCCTGCAGCCTGAAACCCTCCGAAAAAAAATGCAAAAAGTTGACATATTTTTGTTTGCATCCTGTGAACCTCCCAAAGAAAAAGTGAGGCTTTGAAGCTGTTCAGTGACAGTCCCCAAAATGATGCTCATGTAAAATTGTTATTTGGAATTGGTTGAATAGAAAATTGAAATTTGTATTTTTTGCAGTTGGCAAAAGTTGGGAGTATTGGAGAAATTGACCCATCTGGGGTCCTCATCAAGGACACAAAATGATAATATGCTTACTTTGTAACTTTAATCTTTATGGAACTAAGTCATGTCTGACAGTTGTATTTTGGATGTGAACCAGTGAAATACAAGTAGTAAAAGGGGGCCTACGTTTAGGACCTGAATAGATTGAGGAAGGAGATAGAAGATGAGCAAAGATATAGAAGAGAATGGAAACAAAAATATGTATACCCCATACCAGGCATGGAAAAATTCTAACATTCAATCAACTGCAACTACATTGCTTTGACTGCCACCAGTCATCTTTGCCTTAGTCCTAGCTCTATTCTTCTTTTTTCCATGTATTGGTGGAGGGCCAGAGGTTTTATCTTGCTGTTCTTTGAATAGAATGCCAAGGCTGTACCTCTACTTACTGATTTTGGGTGGAGATTGTGTCTCCTAGTGGTGAAATAGTCTCTACCAAAGCTGAATGTATGCTCCACATCAACCATTGTTATTTGTTGCTATAAAAAAAGTCAGAAACAATGAGCAGCAATGAGAATTTGAGATTGCTAATTTTCTGTGATATGGGCATCTTACCTGGAAATCACATGACATCAAGGGCCATCTGTACAAAACCATGATGAGTATTTCCACTCCGTTTTTGCTCAGTCCACCACTTGAGAGCATCAATTGGCTTCCCATCATCCAAATACAGGCCACCAGTGAGCCATATGTGATTAATGGGATCACTTGAGGATTCAGCAGCAGCACCTATACCTGCCAGAAAAACAGTTTGCAGCTGGTGGAGGATTTGATCAGTTGATTCAAGCAGGAAGGGAAGAATTGAAATGAAATTTAATTTTGGTGGTCCCTTTCTGGTGGTCTGGGGGGCTGAATTTGTGTTTTGAGGTTTATAC